GACCGCCTTATAGTAAATTTTAAGAATTACTATTATTAGTGAAAGTATAAATAATATCTAGAGTAGTTACTTTAAGAGACTCTACCTCATCTTATAGACCTATAGCCCGTAGATCCACCTCTTCTTAATCTAACTCTAGTTCTAGTTAAGCAGATTAATCTCCCACCCACCTATTAAGAAGAACCTTCTATTTCCAAAGTTAGGATATATAGGTATGAGCTATGGCTAGGTTATTTAGAAGCCGTTCCTACGCCTTTTTAGCCGCGGTAAGTTTAGCTGCAATTTTGGCTTAGGAATGATTAAGTAATTGTACTAGAAATCATAAGCCTTAAAATAAGGGATAGGATAGAAAACTAACTAGATAAGGCCATTACTCCCTTAACATTATAGCAATGCTAAACACTTACATGAATATAGGCTTTATAAGCTAATTATCTTAGAGTATCTTCTAGAGAAATAATATAAGGAAGGTTATTTTTAGTATAGTAAGAATAGGGTATGGCGAGGAATCTACGTAGGCTAATCCAGTTGGTAAGCCCTAGTCGTTTAAGTGTCTTATAGGAAGATATGGAGGGCCATAAATACTAAACTTATAATGGGGCCAGCCCTACTAATATAGCTGGACCCCTATTATAGATTAACCCCTAGACTAAAACCTTAGAAGGGGGGGATAGTGTTACGGCTATGCCGCAATAGAATGACCTATAGGATAATTACGATGATAGTAATGACGATAACTAGGGTTTCAACCAGGGTAACATTGCTTATGGTAATAATACTTACCATAACATGGACACGTAAGCATTAGGGCACGTAATGAGGTTACGTAACGGCTCTACGGGCTCTATGGTGTAGAGCCTATAGAGCCAAATCCGATAGTAGTATATAGAGATGACGGATTCCCATAGTAATCCATCATCATTAATCCACGATACAGTTATTGCATCCAGTTTCCTTACGGAAAGATTACTCGTAACGTTTTTGGCAACATAACCTCACCGTAGTTAATTGACGCATTAACCCAACGCGATTATACCGCTTCCTAAAGCCCTCATTTCCCACCAGAACCCCATTCGAGGCTAGCTTAGCCTAAGGCCAAGCGACCCCCGTTACAGGGAGCTCTATATAGAGCTATAACACCGGATTCGGTGCGCTGGCTATATAATTAACCTAATTATAAAGGCTCTAATCTATAGTAAAGGCCTGGGTAGATTTGAATTAGACCTCTTACGCGTATCACCTACTAATTAGTACCTTATGTTCTGGGAGAAAGGTGTTATTAGTAAGCTATATAATTTTTCAACTCTGTCTATGCGTCCTATAAATGTCAACGCCTTTTTATAGAGCTGTAATGACAAGCTCTTAACGATGACGACCTCTATGATTTTTCTACGCTCAATTTAATTAAGGATGGCGGGATCCGGTGGCATAGTACGTACGCCATGTTACTACGCTGCCTGGAGCTATGGTAGGTAGTTAGACTCTATATAAAACACCTACGCGATGACCCAGACGCTCCTCTTAATGGCGATTACGATCTATACATTGACGGGCTGATAGAGGACGACTGGGACGAGGTCTCTGTTATCTACAACACCTTATAGCTTTTCTATGAGAACTATAAGTTGCTAGAGGGCAACGCTGGCAGCTCTAGGTTTAGCAGCCTCTATTAGATAGTAGTTAACCTCTAGGAAATCTATGAGGTGTTAAGCGATACGTCCCTTAGTATGAGCACTATGCCTAGTTATGTTACCTATAAAACGGCGTCGCCTTTGCTATAGAGAAGCTGATCACGTACTTTATAAGGCTGGTAATTAACCTAGATCTACTGCCGTACTGTGTAGTAACAGCTCTACATCCTCATCTACGCCTACTTTGGTTCTAGACGCACTGGGCCCATCTCTGGAAAGCCAGAAAATCGCTTAAAGTCACCTTTGACAAGTATTTAGCTGCAGAACAATTATATAACAACGATGAGGCCCCTAACGTTGACCCTATACGTAAGCTCCCAGGAGCGTACAAATTAAGCGCTCGCCGCCAACATATAATATGGGATGACCCCATGCCCCTCACTGCCATAAAACAACGCAAGCGCCAAAAACAGAGCTCCCAGCTAGAGGAGTATTACGATAGCCTCCTTGAGGACCTAGAGATGGCTGATCACGATAAGCGCCTCTCCCAGTTACTTAATGACCGACACCGTTGGTGGGTAGAAATCAGCCAAATAAGGTACCCTACGCTGTATAAGATGGCCATGGATCACCTCTTAGGGCCAGCTACCTTATGTGACTATAAGAGGTGTTTCTCCTCCGCCAAACACACAGTAATGTGTAATCGCAATTCACTATCGCCCGCTGTAATTGAGGCCTACCAGTTATAAAAGAACTGGCTGAGGAGAGAGATCGTCCCAAGTTACCTTAGAGAGCTTACTTCGTATATATAGGGCAAGGAGCAGGGACCTAACGATAATAATGATGACGATAGAGCTCCAGAGGACTCCAACCCAGAGGCTTAACTCACTCCTATTTCCTAATTAGGAAATTTTACGCTGTAATTACGCTGTCAGGCTCTAATTTTATTACTACGGTTCAAGTCCCGTATCGTCGTAGTCTCTCTACTGTAGCGTCCGTACCATAATTACTAGCAACCGTAACGTAACCGTAACCACCTCTTATGGTCCGTAATACCGACTGTTGGAAGCGCTGCCCTAGGCTCCATATGCATTACAATATCATCGTACTCCTACACTCAAACTGTGGCTGGAGGAGGTTGCAATCTATTGTGCCACGTTCGCGTCAGTGCACGCACTGTTGTGTAGGTATTGGCTGAAGCGGTAAGGTTTTGAGGCATGCAAATAGGGTGAGTGGGGAGGATCAGCACCAGGAGGTCTGAGAGGCAATCGAGAGAGGCACAGAGCGAGACAAATGGTTTAGTGGGGGTAGGAGAGATCTTGGACACGGCACAACGCAGCGAAAGGTAATTGCATCATACGAGCCCTGGAATTGCAACGCGATGTATTCAGCCCTAAACGTTCCCTGCCAGCAGCCTTCGCAACAGTACGTTCACGCGGTTTACTGTCTCGCAAAGTCGAGTTATGGTGAGGCAGGAACGATGCCTTTTCCCGCTAGGAAATCACTGTGCTCACACGCTCATGCCATCGAAGGTCGATTCCCTATGCATACAATTCGACGAATAAAAGATGAGTACATCTAGGGAGGCGTCGGCTGACTGATGCTAGCGAACTCACCCTGTCTCCTATCTATCGTAGCCCCCCGTGGAGGGTCCACACCTTGACGTCGAAGTCTGGCCGCAGCGGCGGAAATCCGAGCTCGTGAAACATGCGAAGGCCTACATTCGCGCCTTCCTCCATGAAAAACTTTAGACACGGGACCTGACCCTGACCGCCCAGCTGAAACTGCAGATCGACGAGTGCACGTTTTTTCAGGCATGCCCGCCATGCCGGGCACGAGTTGCCCAGAGCCACATTGATCAGTTCGTAAGGCTCAGGTGCACACGTAGGACGGCATGCCTTGAATGTTATGCCCAGGATTGGAATCACGGCTCGAATCCGGCAGAGAGATGCAAGACTCATTTCACCGGGCAACGCGCCCTGGATGATTACCTCTGGACGGACATGAGCAGCCGAGGTGTCTTGAAACTTGACATCCCACTTGCTATTTGTTTGCTTTTCGAGGCGTCGAATGGCCCGTCGGACCTGGCGAACCTGCTCCTCGATCTGTTCCGCGTGGAGTTGCATCCAAAGAGGTCCGTACTCTGCCCGGAACATGCGCGAGACCGAAAATAGGCCCGAATTGCCACGGGACCCGGTCGATCGAGGGGCAATGAATCGCCTGGATGCGGCGTGGTCATCTGCGATCAGGTAGCCATACACCCGGTTACGGCACTCTTCATCTGGTCAGCGGGGGAGCCCTCGAGGCAATGTCGAACTCACCTGGGACATCGAAGACGGACCGTGGCGGAAGCTGAGAAGGCTTGACAGGTTCCTCCGCTGGCATGGCAAAGAGCCTGTCGAGGTGCCAGGCATCTTCCTCGTTTACACGATCCACTACCACGGTGCGCCGCACCGCCCAGCGCACGAAGCTAACACTTTCTCGGACGATTAGGAACTCCTTTGCTTCTTGTAGCATCTGCGTGCGCAGATCGCGGGTGACCTCATTGTGAGCAGGACACGGCACGGGTACGCCGTAACGCATACATAAATGGGCGGTATGATTCGTGGTCATGGTCTCGTATCGTAGTGGGAGGAGGCGGTAGGTAGAAGGCGTCGCTGACGCTGGCACGTGCAACCAGTCCGCAATCTGCTCCCATACGAACTCCGTGGGCTCTGCTACGTACGTGGCAGGCCACATGTCGTTAGGCAAGGACAGATGCGCCGCTACTGCCTGAAAGTGGACGACCATGGTGGATGGATCGCCCAGGACATGGTCCCTCACGTCTGGGTGTAGGGGCAGAGCGACCTCTGAAAAGCCGCGGCGCTCATACTTCCTGCGAGCGTCCCTGTCTCGCTCTGCATCCTGGAGGGTCTTCCAAGCGTAGAACTCTCGCCGCGCTGTCAGCTCGGGATAGAGAACAGCAGCGACTTCGCCGCTCACGTAGCCTTGAGTGCAAGATAGATGGGAACTCAAAATATGATTCCTGTAGCCCCCTGCGGTTACGATGACTTGAACTTTGGCACTCCGGTGCCGTGTGGTTATGGAACCGTTTATCACAGTAGTCGGGAGGTTGGTCACAAATTGGCCCCTCCAATCATATTCTCCTTTGGGGAATCCGAACATTCTCCAAACCCGTACCCTCGTCTTGTAACCCGATCCGTCAATGGTTGGCACCGCGGCCACCTCGCACTTGAATTGGTGCTGAATAAGCTCTCCCGATTTTGCGAAACACATCTGATCCTCCCCAATGTAGTAGTCGACCGCAAGGAGGGCTTTCTTCGTGTGGGTGCTCGATCCTCGGGACATGGCCACGTGCATGCTTTGCCAGATGTCCAATTTAGTCGCCACGAAGCTGACGTGTGCCTGTGGATACGCTAAACAGGCTAATATCCTTTCCGCACGCGTTTGGAAGAGAACCCCGCAGTGCTGAAGACCAGTAATAAGACGCCAAACGTTTACGGGGTTGTTGTCAACGGCGAAGTTCCAGTCCGAATCCGGCCCACAAAAGCCAGGTGCGAGGTAGTCCAGGAACCGCGACCCCACAATGGCAGCACCGCTCTCAATGAGAGTGTTGCGAAGGCTCTCAGGCCGGCAGAACCATTCGCCCAGCCAAGCTTCAGGGGCTCGGTGTAGTTTTGGGAAGTCTTCGAGGGAGACATGGCCGGCCTGGAAAGTGAACAGGGGATCGGGTTGGCGAGGCCGACCAGTGTGCATATCGCTACGGGATGGGGAAGACTCGGGAAGCCGGACGTCGTCGTGTGACGCTCGTGTCATGGTGGACTCATCTGGTGGACTATGGTGGTGCGACCGGAGAAGGCCTCTGACACGTTCTTCGAATCGACGCATTGCTGCGAAGCAAGCTTCCCGCAGTGTCTGGGGTAAGCAGGCGATGAAGTCAACCAGTGATGGCGTTCGATACAACAACTGCGTAGGACAGTAGCAGGAATGGTAGGAATCTGCCTCGAGGACGCAAAATCAGGTACGCTTGAATTCTGTCCGACGACCGTTGTACCAGGTATAAGTACCTCTGTAATTGTTGGTTGCTTTTCTTTGTGGTCAAACAGGACTATTTCGAGCGGTTGTTTCTTCATGGTCAAACAGCACTTTTTTGGCTGTTTTTGCATGGTCAAACCGGACATGCTCTCGAGCGGGAATTCATAACCTATACTCGGCAGCTGACATCCAAGCAGGCAAGAGAACTCATGCTATGCACGCTTAGGATTAGTGATAGTACAAGAATCGGATCCAGTGCTATTGTCTTGGGCTTCGACTCACGACCTTTCAAGGAAAAAAGTAGATTCCAAGTGGGCAATCGCTTACTCCAAACACGGGTGGATAGGAGATTGTACTCTTCGCGAGCAATCTTTGGCAGTTCCTAATCTGAACGGGATGTGTACAAAGGGTTTTCAGAAAGATCATGATCGACGCTCGAGAAGCAGTCTATACGCTACATCTCCTTGTAGCCTTGTCGTGATCATACCTCACAACCTATTCAGTACTACGTGTGAGTACCTACGCATGCTGGGCTCTCCCGTCACCCGACGCAGATCGCTGGATACGCCATGGGGGGTGATTGGCAAGCCTAGGACAGCAAAAGGCGGGGGGTTTGCGGGCGGTAAACGCCAGGCATCTCGCTTGATGGATATAGCTGGCAAGCCGCGCACGAAAGTGTGATGAAACGAGACCATGTCAGATTGAGGTGCGGTGGAACGTGCGAGCGCGGATGCTCGGACTGGCTGGTAACTCGGGCTCTGTAGCTGCAGGTCCCCGCGTCATGTCAAAGCTGCAGCGGCGATATACGATTTTACGCTTTTCGGGTGGCGGTGCCTTCATCCTACCAGAAGGTCTCCACATCGCGGGCACCTAGCATGTTGATGAATCTCTCGCCGCAAATTGAAGCCTTCACAACCTTGCGATCAAAGATTTGTACAAAACTTTAGATCTGATGGAAGGGTTGTAGAAAAGATGGCACGGTCTCACTCGCAGGATATAGACAAACTAGTCGTTGAGTCTACCTGCGTACTTATTAGAATGACCTCTCTTTTCCTTTATGGAACCGCTTGTGCACATCGAACAGTCCCAGACCAAAGCAACCACGACAGACCATAGTCCAACCATCTTTGTGTGTGGGATGAACCACATCATCGCCATATGGATCATCTACGAAGGCTAGTACAACGCAAGGGCCAGGGCAAAAGCCAGCCGCAGCACTAGCATGCGGTTTTTGCAAAACGATCAACGCTAGACATTACTACGTTGTTCAGAGCAACGTTCAACCAAAGTTCAGCTAGCGGACCATAGTATCCATGTTCCATGAAATTTCCCAGCCAAATGCATACACTATGTTGGCCAGGGCTGGAACTCTCACAGGTATAGACTCCCGAGATGGCCTCGTCCCACTGTAGCTTATTATCTCAAATCTACCGAATGGAGGCAACCATATCATTTTGGCAACATATTCAAACACACCATGTAGGTGGGAGAGCCATCCATCGTATATATGGGAGGTCCTTGTGACGTTTAACAGTGCGCTGTCATACAGTTCACCCTGACTTGGCCGTCTTCGGAAACTCCTCTTCTTAGCATTGGGCGTGACGGTGACCTGCATTATGACGTTAGATCATGTATGGTGCGAGAATCTTCCCCTACCTCCACTTTGGATTGCTTGATAGCGTCCACTGGACCGTATGCGCGCCGCGCCTCAGCAGTACCGTAGCCGTACCACTGGCCCTTGTGCACCCGGCATTTGAGCGTCCCAACCAACTGACGCTCGCACTGCTTGCCGTCCTTCCTAGTTCCGAGACACTGCATAACCTTGGTCGTCGAAGCTGCGCCTGGAGGGTGGCAGCTGCCCTACTGGAAGTTTTCGTGTGAGACAGTTTTTCACTGCTACTTTCAGAAACTCCAGCGGATCGAGATTATTTGTAGCCTGGGGCTCGTTGAATGCCAGCAATGGAAGCCGTGAACCAAAAAGTCTTTATCAAAGTGCAGCTGTCAAACTATGATTATTTCGAAAATCGACGTAAGAAAGCTGGAGACGTTGGGAGAGATGGCTGCGTAAGTTACCGACGCGGGCGAACGGGCGCATGCCGTGTAGAGGCGTGTACTACTACGGGACCAGTACAACTGGTGCACAACCTCTGCACGTGATCTTCCTCAATACTGGATGTCTTGGGATTGTATCGATTACGAAGACGTGATCGGCGTCACCCCAAAGTTGGGCCGAGACATGGCTGCGTGATATAGCCCATTCAACCTCAGCAGACAAACGAGCCTAAACTACGCCACTTTTCGCAGCACCGCGGCGGGACTTCATAACTGAATAACCTCTGCTGAGACGCTCCACTATCGTCTCACCTGATCAGCGGGACAGCCAAACGCCGCCCTGTCTCCTAGATGCGGCACAAGCTACCTGGATGCTGTTGGGCGCCGCGCGATGATTTGCAGACTGCCACACAATGCAATCCAAGCGGGCAGAACTCGTTCCATGGCATGCATGCGGTGCATGTTTAAGCAATCTGACGAAAGCGCCACGCTTCGAGCATCGAGCATCGAGCATCGAGCATCGAGCATCGAGCATCGAGCACGAACGAGCAATGGATGGATGGCCGAGAAACCCCCTCGATGAATTGACATTGGATAGCCTGAGGCGGGCGACAGCGGAGAACAATCTGATCGATTTGTTCTACTAAACGTTTCGCACACTCAGGATCCACGCTTGTTCCTTCCTTTGACCTGCACTTGTCCCGGTGTCGTGACTAGATCTCCTGTGATTGACGCCCTACTGATTCTCCACTGATTGCACACGTTTGGGACGAAAACTTCTAATTCCAAAGAACCTCGACCGCCAATGGCCTTCTCGCTTGGACTCCGCTTGCTCCTTCTCGCCCTGACCCTCGCCGCATCGCTTGTGGGATGCTATTACAAGAGCTCGACGAGCTTCAACGCCACACTCGGCCGCATCGAAGCAGAGTACCGCTCTTCCGTCAGCACCTGGAGCAAGGATGCTCTCTTCCCCGACTTTGATTTCAGCTCCAAAGCACTAAACTGTCTCGTGGTGCGGATGCGCCACCCAGCCGTCGAGCTCCTCAAACTGTCGCCATACAACAACGCAGAGCTTACAGCATCCTTTCAGGCGCTGAGAGAACGATCCCGTGAAGTACGAGAGCGCTTGGCGGAATTGGACGTCAACCTCACGGCTCTGCACCGTCGAAACTATGCAGCTTTTGCCGAGGCCGAGGCCAAGCTGGTGCAGGCGTATATGGATGTTGTCCGAGCATCTGCAAAAGTGGATGCAAGGTGCACGGCCTGGGCCGGACCAGCACGCAACTCGACCTTCGGCCTTGTCCACCGGGTCCACGAGCATCGGCCCTCTCGCCTCCAACGTGTCCTGTCTACGCTGTGCTCTTTCACGACACTCCCCAAGCGGCACGCATATCCGAACCACGCTGCCGATTTAACCAACACCGACAACATTGTGGATGGTCTCGTCAACGCCCTCGTGGCCAATGTTCGAAGCGAGTCGCTCGCCCTGGAGCCGCACCTCCACGCGCTGGTATCTGCGTACCATGTACTCTACCGCGAAGCCTGGACGCTCTTCTTCGCGGCCGACTTCCACTGGAACCGCAAACGCCTCGGTTTGTTCGTCTGTCTCTGGCACACGGGGTCGACGGTGTGCACTCCGCTGTCACTGGAACAGCGACGTCAGAGCGCTGAGTGGAAGGACATGTTGGGCGTTCTGCAGGGCCTGAAAGACGTGCGCGATGAGGTCTTGATGGCGCTGGTGGAGGTGAGGAGGCTGCGGGATGACGTGGCGTATGCAGGGGAGACATTAGCCAAGGTGAAGGCATGGGAGAGGGGAGGGCAGCCAGGGCGCAGGCTCGAGAGGGTAGTGACAGTACTGAGGCGCCTTCTGATGCTGCAGTGTTCGACTGATCCAGCGGAGTACCAGGAGGTCAGACCGTAGCTGGGTGCAAAAGCACAGCGTATCCGAGGGATCACTCGGTGCTGTCTTTCACTGCGCTGGTCGGTCTGCGGCGACCTGTAGGAAAACACGCACGGTTTGTAAGGGACATGGCGGGCAATACTATGATAGATGGCATCAACAGAAACGCATAATGGAAACACCACGACCAGCTTGTTGATAGCCTTGAAGCGACATTTCCCTTTGGCCACTATCTCGCCGCAGGAGGGTTATCATCGTGTCCACCACATCTTTGTCTGGAATTCACCCATCGTTGGCTATATCCCAGGACATGCCCAACTTGTTTGCGAAGATGGCCGCCGCGCCCTGCGGGTGCCGTTCGTGATCTCAATCCGCCCGCCCTCCGGGCACCCCACGTCCTCGAGTGCGACGACCCCTCCTCCCACGCCTTCCTTTTTCCTCCCGTTCAATGGCGATCCACCAACGGACGAGCGCCAAGATCCCCACAGCGAACACGAGTCCCTCGTAGCGGTTCCTCCACATGAGTGATGCCAGGCTCGCCACCAAGAGAGCTGCCAGCATATTCCTGAAGTCGCGGAGCATGGGGCCTTTGGCAAATTCGCTTTCCGAAGCACGCTGAACGACGAGGGATTGCGAGTCGTAGACAGAGCTGTTGGATCGCGAGGATGGCTGAGTGTATTCGGGACGCCGAGCGTAGCGAAGACGATCGAGAGGGCTGAGCTCCATGGTGGTGTGTATGCAGCTTGTTTGGGGAGGGGCTGTGGAATTCGGTCTCGGATACGAGCGTGATTGAGAACGTCCCGGACGAGATGACGCTGCAGACTTGCTGTTCTTTGAGTTCGCACTGGGTCGATGGAAGGTGCACCGTCTCGTCGATACGTTGCGGTGGCGCGCGGGCAAGCTTACCACTCACAGTTCGCAACAGGACTTCGTCCTTTGTTCAGCGTCCGGCGTGACAAGCCTCGTCCTTTGTCGGGCGCAAAACGTGACGGGCCCGTTTGTTGCTAGATGCGGCGTCGCCGAGGAAAGAAGTCAGGCTCGGCAGTTCGACGAGGGCTCTTGTCCTTTGTCCGGCGCAAAGCGTGGTAAGCCTCGTCTGACCTTGCACGCAGCGGCACCGGTGGGAGAAGGTGCGCTTGACGGTTCGGTGCGGCGGTATTCTTCTGTTTGGGTGGCGGGAGATTGCCCCCTTGTTTGTTTCTTTGTGTAAAATGTGTAACGTGACGACGCCACAAACTTGCGGTCAAAGCCTGTCCTCTTTCTTTCATCCTATCTCAAAATCACCACGGCGCTCGTCGGAGCACGTCATCATTTCACATCGCCTCTTCCGTTGCGCGAAACACATCATCCATCTAGACAGAGCAACCTTCGACGCCAGAATGTCGTCCAACCATCGTACCCAGGAACCGCTTCCCCTCCCCGAGCACGACGTGTTTCTTCCCGGTAATACCTCCGTGCTGCCGAAGCGCCGAGGCGCTCGAACCCGCAGCCAGCCTCCTGCGCAGAGCCAGGGGAAGGACGTCGGGCGTGGCGACGACGACGACGCAGGCCCCGCCACACCGGCCGCGAACGACGGTACGTCTCTCCTAGACGCCGACTACCGCGCCAAGTTGCGTCTCCCACCGCGGCCTACGCCTCCCCCCACGATTGCCAAATCTCGCCGCCTCTGGGTAGACCGTCTCGACGCCCTCCAAGCCCGCCTCGTCGACGTTGACACCCGCTTCGACGAGCAGGAAGCACGCTACGATGCCATGGCCGAGCGCCAGCTCCAGTGGGAGGCCGCACGCGCGGGCGACGTCCAGCTTCGCCAAGACACAATGGAGGTGCTGGGCGAGATTGGAGAGCGCTTGGGTGCGCTGGAGGAGCGGGCCGATGCGCTTTTCAAGACAGTGGGCTGGGCGTGGTTCACAGGGGCCGTGGTCTTGCCGGCTGCTGGATGGGGCGTATGGGATGCTGTTGCGCGATGGGGCTGAGTGCGTGATGCGTGCAAGGAAGAGGAGAGCACGTGGCACGCACGTGGCTATCATGTTGGAGAATCTTGGCGAGAGCACGAGCGGGAAGTTGGGGACGCGGCCGGCCTGAAGGTGCGAGACGAAGCAGCAGCGATATTTTCGGAAGAGGCCGTACATCTTCTATATTTCATGGCTATGAGTTGATATAGACGCGTCGTGGTATTCTGTTGCCTTTACTTTCAATGCAATAAGTAACGTGACTAACCTACGCTGCAAATGACGGTATGTTGACAGGGCAGATATACGTTGCCATGCATCCGAACCCTACTGAAAAGCACCCAACACAGACCTGCAGCCTGCGATCTTCTCCCTCCCCTCACGCGCACGTCTCTACCCGCTGCAGTACCACATACATGTGCACAGAGAAAGTCTCCAGGTCATGCAATGGACCCCAAATCGGCTCGCTCTACATTGGATGCTCCAGGGCTTCCTCGATGGCTCCTTCCTCAAAACTGCAACATTCTCTTTGCCCTGTCCCTGCAAAACAAGTACGCTTACCGCTTGTCTGCTTGAGTATAGACCTCCTCTTCCCACCCTATCTTTCGCTGCGGCGTATGGCGGCTTGCGCAAGGTGCTCAAGGCCTGTGGAAAGAAGAGGCCGCCAAGGCTGCCACGGTGCCGCCCCGCTTGCTGCAAAGGCGACCCGCGATTGAGCGGAGAAACGTCTACAGCTCATCTGAACATGACTCAGCACCATGTTACGAGGAGGTAGAAGGATGAATTGTAAATCGATATGCCCGCGGACTGAACACGTATTGTGTGCTTCTGCAGGACCACTCACGCTGGATTGCTCCTACCTCGATGGTCTGTGACTCCGGCACCAACATGGTAGGCTTCATAATGCGAATCGATCCAGTACTCCGAGTCGCAGTCCAGAAAATACAAGTCATGCGGACGATGATACGATGGGTGGCGATGCAGTCGCCGTGTCTGCCCAGATGGAGGTCACGATATGTCATGAGAACTAAGAGATTGGGAATCCAAGCACTCTGCAAGTACAAAGTCGACCTTAGTACGCCAGAGTGCATCATGTGCGATAGGTAGACTCAGCCATGTACTCTGCTGCCACAATGTACCATTCGCCAGGTGAGGTCGGCGTGCGGGGAAGCGAATGATTAAAATCCGCTTTGTGATGTATAGTATGCGTCTTGGAATACGCCTTGCAACGTAGGAGATTTGTTAATGAACCTTTATTTGTGCCCGAGTCGGGCAACTACGTTTGGTGAATCTAGTCATGAAGTGTATAGGTGAGCGGCGAAATGTCATCAATTATTAATAGGATGGCACCATAGCACACCAATATAGAACATATTCCATGTTCATGAGGTCCCGAGAATATGATGGACTGTAGCAGGAGGATGGTATTTGTAAACACGTTCGATTGCTAATTAGGTGCCAAAGTTAAAGTAAATGATGGTGTGTGCCGCCACCGCCAGCGCCTGGCTGCTGATCGTAACAGCCCAGCTGAACCACGCCATCCACCCGACCGCATAGCCAACAGCATCATCAAGATAGCGCGCGGGGAATTCGAAGAGGGGTCCTTGGATGGGGAAGAGGGCGGTCATTTCGCCTTGCTCACGCAGTCAGACGGGATGGAATGGGAGGAGGGGGAAGAAAGTACCCAGACACGAGACCACGCACCAGAACACACTCGTCGCGAGCAAGAAGGCAACGACGGCGAGCCCTGGGCCCGCAACGTTGAGGACTTCGCCGTGTGCTGGAAGAGGCCGAAGCCGATGCAGGCGGAAAACGCCATCATGTTGACTCGACTCGAGCGTCAGTGCATTCTTCGTCGGGGACCAGCGGCTAGATGGAACTCGCGCACCTTGCCGCTCATCGAGCGTCTGTCTGTCGTGGTGTCAGCAGCGCAGCGCCATGCACAGTCTCTCTCCTCCTCCCTACCCACTAAAGGAACGTCAACTCACCTCAAAAACGTACCTATCTCTAAGCCTTACGCTGGACTACTAGTTGCGCGCGCTAAGGTGTTATACACCCTCTTAAACATTTCCAGTGCCCTCTAACCAATAGGAGTAATAGTGGGGATACCGCGATTTTCTTAGATGGTAGGGCAGCAGTAAATAGGGACCGGTGTGGTGTTCGTGGGACGAGTAGGTGATTGGAGCACGCATAGGGGTGGTGTTTGGAATAGTATCTAAACACGAGAACACGAGAGCTGAATGGGTGGGGCCCGTATATATGGAGATATACATGTTTAGACTACTACAGCGAGTAAGCGGGTGAGAGGAAGATAGTAAGATAGATAGATATATTATAATTATATACTACTTATAACGTGCGTGTCATGTCCTATATTACCCATAAGTTAATGAGAAGCCATTGCGCCCATAAATCATGATGTATTGTGTCTAGCGAGGGGTATCCGTAGTGTGCGTCCGTTCGTGAGTGCAAGGTGTGGGGTATCGTGCATCCTGACGCCTATGTTATCTAATCTGTCCCGTCCGTAAATCCAGAAACGCCAACAAATCATACCAAAGAAACCATAGAAAGTCAAAGTTCCTAGAAACTTAACACTTCCGCTACCGCCTCCGCCTTACAGCCCCCCTCGCCGTCCACACACCCGCAAACAGATCCTCGCACTCCTCCTCATCCTGGCTATCAAACTCGATGTCCTCATCCCTGACCCCGTCCCTCAAAACCCCATCATCCTCGTCCTCCTCGCCACGACCCACAGGCATCCCACCTCACGTGATACCTGAGGTATACCTACCTGTACGATCGTCTTTCCCTAGTGATGGCCAGCTCGTACTGCCTTGAAACTAACACAAATGAAAGGGATTGGGTAAAGCTTCAAGAAGTTCAGGTACCAGCATGTATTGTAGGGACGCTGCCGACTTCGATTCTGCTTACCAGTTCAACTTCTAATTTGGGCCCTGTGCCTGTAAGGCGTCGGAGCCGATTCCAAGGGAACTTGGTCCGGTGCTTCACATCCAGCGATTTGGCCTCGTAATTCTTTCCACCAATCCTATTGCACATGTAATGACCTCGAGGTATAGTTGTGCACTCTAGGATAGACAGTCGCCCGACCCGTGCAAAGCACAGCAAAGTAGAGCATGCTAGTAGCACAAGTAGATCCCACGTTACTTACGCGGAGAACATGGTAGTAAGCGAAGACTCAGTTACACCGGCTGTACACAATACCCTGGCTCACAGATTAGTACAACCACAGCGGTTGACACTCACAAAAATATAGACGTGGTGTAGCGGATTCCTCTCCTGGTCAATCCCAACCTAGTAGTGCGCTACTTGGCCAGGTTTCTTCTTGGCAACAGTCTTCGTAGCTATCGTCGTCCTAACGGTGCTCTTCTTGGTGGCCACGTATACGGTTACGCTCCTGCTGTTGGCACGCGTCTCAGTATTCATCCTAGGGGTTTCTGCTCGAGACACGCGGTGAAAGATTGCTAGATTTAGTAATGCGCCCTGCAGCAGCATGCTGCGTACAGTCAAGCTCACGGTCTTCGTGGTTGACATGGATAGACGGGGAAGGAATGCGGACAATGTAAAGACTTGCGACATGGACAGCTTTTCGGGAGGGGTTTGACAAGGGCTTCCCTTTTAGACCATGATAAGCAGCATAACCAAGAAGCATAACAGGAATTCTACAAGCTATAGAATGTCTATCGTACAATACCAAGTCCCTCGCTTCCAAGGACCTTGATTACTTGCGTGAAAGGATGAGAGATGTGCAGGAGCGTCGTTGCCTCTTTAATCCAATAGCTACAAACACCTGGTTCGACAGCTTTAGTTTCGTCACTGTGCTAAGATAGTAGCGTCGACACTACCTCGCTGCACTTCTCTCGATATCATGTTTGGAGTAAATTGCCTTCTTCGTACCATAAAGGCCACATTCCTTTGAAGAATGCCTCCCCACTGTTCTCAATCTTTGAAGGGCCATACCTCGCTTGAGTCCTGCTTTTACTTTCGTAAAGCGACCCTCGATGTGATGTTGGCAGCGCCAACATCGAGGCGTTTGTAGGTTTCGTGAACGTGGCTCCCAGTATGCAGGAGTACAGCAATACACGAGAACAAAATGCCTATACATACTGAGGCTCATCATCACGATGCAGCGCTGCGAGGGGGCGTGCAATGCCTTTCGAGGCATGCTCCCCACGAGCTCTGGATCCCAATTGTGGTTCGATTTGCGAGGAACGACGGGGCGAGGAAAGGGTATAGATCGACAAATAACGCGGTGTTGCCGTCTGATCACTGTCGACGTACTCTCTGGGCAAAATAAATATGACCTTTTACGTCTTGTACGAACAAGTCTGGCATATTTCAGGACAGGAATTGGGGCAAGATAGGGTATAGAAGACGTCAAGCTCTTGTGACAAGCACAGCTGTGTGAATGAAGCTTCAAAGCCCTGATAAGATGCCGCTACTACCCGTTCTTTACCATGGCATAGCACACGTGCAGGGCATGTAACCGTTCAGAAGGGTCGCGAAGCCCCATCCCGACGACTAACACTACTTCAATTAGCTCGCATTGGCCTGGAATTGCAGCGCAGATCGACAAAGCGGATGCATACTTCCTCACAGGTTGAACAGACACGACCGCCTATCCTATCGATAGGGATTGACTTGCCAATGATATAGCGCTCCACGATCGCAGTCCATAAACAAGGACTCCTTCCCCTCTCTTACCCGCTCACATGCTAGTCCTCTATCGCAGCTACTTTGTGGGCCCTCTGCGTCGCCCTTGTTCAACCGCCGAGGTCTGGGCATGCATGAGAAGAAGTCCAAAAAAACCAAGGTCACGGTCCCGTTCGTTTTGATTCCGTCGTAGCATTACACTAGAAAGGTATGTTATATCCTCCTCGCCCGCACCCTATTGCTTTTTCTTCACCCATCGCGCGATGGGTGACTGCCCTTATTCTCCTGCGTGAATCGACACCCATCGTTACAGGAAAGCAGACCTGTATAGCACCGATAGGCTATCCCTACTCTGGTTGAGTCTCTTTGTACCATTATATACCCCTGCGCAAACTGAAGCGTAGTATTCTCGTGGCAGAAGACCACTCATATTCATGGATCAGGCATATCGATGGTATACACAGAGAGAAGTCTGTAGGCCCAACAGCTTTGGTTGATAAGTCCACAGAGTTTTACTTCGAACCCGTGACATCTTATTGTCGGGGCCTTGCTGGAGTCATGAGGGGCTACGCCGTTTATGTGTTGTCGCCGAGTCGCAGGAAGTGGCTGAAATAGATCCCACTTTCTCTCCGGCTAACATACAGCTGCTTTGATTCGTCGGTCCTTTTCAGCACTGTAGCACCACCATCTAGTCTGGCTAGCAGTGAACATGGAGCAGATCAGGTCCTTGCTGCAGCGCATACGTGGCCTACGAATCGCGAACCATCCATCTGCCCCTAGCTTACATACTTTCTCCCCCAATAGAACCACCATTAAACATGCTGAAAAAGAGCAGATCCATAAAGCAGCGCTGAAACCAGCGCCCTACCGTCATCACTCGCCACTCCATCATTCCCCGTCTCGAACAAGCCCTCAATCATCCTCAAGAGGAACGTATCCCAGCCCAGGGACATACACATACCTGTCCTGCGTCTCCAGTCCCATGGTTGGCTCTTCCTGCACATCGCACAAAGCAGTAGGATACAGAACTCTCCTGCCATCGCGACTAAGCTGTATCGTAGGAACCCTGTACATTGGTGTCCGTGTTGAGGTTGGATTCGTGGGAACATGTGGGCCTCGTCCGGCTGGCATCCTAGGCAGATTCACGGACTGTACAGAACGGGGTTTCAGTGGGACCGCAGGGCAGCATGGTCCGGCTTGTGTAGGTCCTGGTGGTGCTACTACACAAGCCGCGCACTCGTGCACTCGGGTGTCAGCTGAGTGCACGGCGTTCTGCGAAGCCTCGACGGGTGAGCTGACCGAGATAGCGTCCGCAGCCGGGAGATGTCGCGCTATAATGGCAGTGTGGTTACCCCCATCAACTGTACCCTTGTCCTGGACCGCGATCTGTGCAGATGCAACGGCGGTAGGAGTGGAGGCAGAAACGCTCGACGGTGCCACGTCGTTCCTGATAGTCCTCAGCACTATACTGTCTATTCACCATCAAGGCTTACGCACCATTGGCTTCCCGTGCGAGTTGGATGATTTGGGTGTGATCCCAGCTCGTTAGTGCGTCCCTCATCAAGACCTTCCGTTCTTAGCCCCGGGGTCTCATTGGTGTATCGTTCACGATTGATATCGTCACCGCGCGCGAAATTTGGCTGCGTGCGATCAGACCAGTCGATCGGCCTGGGCGGTCTTTGGCATGACATGTTTTCGTTCCGCCGCTAAGCAAGATGGGCTGCTGATTGATTCTGGATCCGTGGCGCGTAGCGAGGAGTTTGGATGAAATGACTTGCGATAACAACACGTCCGGGCTGTCGCTCTTTGAACAGTAGACGCCAGCGGTTGGCATGCAGAGATAACATCTTTATAACGTCCTGGCCTGGAACTGGAGGGACGATAGATAACGCGATTGTTTTTGCATCGTCCTCCAGGAATGTTTCCTGATGTGGCCGTGCAACTATGCGATATGCTGGCATCGGGTCGATTACAGCCTCCTCCAATCTTTCCATTCACACGCTGTGTAGGTATATACTATGAAACGTTTCAAGGAGTCATGCTAAGGACACAGAGATCGAGAATAACGATGATTGTTTATCCGCTAGACGTGCCCCCAGGCCGTTTTGCAAGCAAGGAACGCGTCGCGTCTAGGAATGCACATGGAATGCAGCCACGTAAACATTGGAGCTCCACATTCGTCCGCTGCCAATCTCGCCAATCACAGAGCGGGAGGATGTGGTATTGATCATCGCCCTTTAGGTTCGTTTCGGCAAGCGACTCGGCGATTGGGTCCCGTTACTTTGTAGCCCCAAAAGTCGATTTATTATTGCCGTGATAAGATGCCGCGTAGGAATTGAGGTGTTTCGTATGACATCTAGGCTCCTTGACGAATATCCAGTCTACAAAGGTTCTCAAGATAGTTCCACACGACATCACGTGACTAAAAAGAATGACGTTGCCCGAGGGGCAAGTTGCAGATAAAGCGCTCGAGCACGATGCAGCGGGCGAGTACCATGTCGGTATGCGCGAAGCCATAGGCTCTGCTACCACGATTTTCTTGTATTGCAGTCTCCTACGTTATCTGCTACCATGATCCCGCCACATCGTTGCAGAACTGCCAAGAAAGATCAACGAAAGTGTGGAGAGGAAAGATACCCATCCCTCGGCGTGCTGCACCAGACCCCTCGCACGCTCGTGCAAGTGGACTGTCCATCCGACTCGCCGAGATGGCCCAACACGAGACGAATCTCCTGTACGACTTCCGCTCACACTTCCCTCCACGGTGGACGTGCGCCTCCCGCCCCCGGGAACGAGCCCGCAGCCGTCCACCACGGATCCGCCCACAGCGGGGGGATTCCCCCAGCCCCACCACCTAGGGCGCCTAGGGTATCCGCGCCCCCAGCCGTCTCCTCGGCTCGCCCCACCCACTCCGGCCTTATCAGAACACCCAACTCGCGACGCAATCCTTCCTGCCGCGCGGCGCGTTCTTCCTCCGACATGGCCCGCACAACGCGACTCAGCCGCCCCACCAGATCACTCGCAAGCTCGCCCCGGCCCATCTCGCCGAGAGAATCAATGTAGTCTGCATCCAGCGTAGCGTCTTCGTCTCTTCCACGGGCGATGGAGTACCAGCCAAAGCGGAATTGGTAAGACTGGCGGACGGAAAGGGCATGGCGGGCCTAGCAGAAGAGTCAGCCTCCGTCTGATCGCGGGAAGGGAGAAGGGGAGGCGGACCTGCTGATGTAGGTGTCGAATGACGGTGGTCCAGCCCGTTGCGTATGCAAAGGCGACGAGGGGTCCCAAGCAAATGAGGGAAAGCCGCGGGGCCGTACGGAGGAGAGTGGAAAGGACGAGGCCAGTGAGAATGCTGAGCAAGATGAGGGACCCCTTGGTGAGGAGAGCGGGCGGAGTGTAACTATCGATGTACATGTTAGCGAAGGAAGCTTCGGACATTGGGACGGCCTAACGTGATCGACCATGGTGTGAGCCACTGCCAAGTCCCACGCTCGATATCTTCAGCGTCGGCGTTGTCGAAATCTACGATTGTGTCTTGCTGAGGTGCGGGTGCGAGTGCGGGGAGTAACTGATGGATCACATTTCGGGCCGTCGTGGAAAGTCCAACAAGGAAGAAGTATATGAGTGCGAAGCTGAAGATAAGTTTCCACAACATCTTGGGCAAGGAAGCGATTGTTGGCACAGTAAGTTGGGTGTGTGATGTAGACTTTGCGCACAGGAAGGACAGTAGAGAGGTAACTGCCTTGACTGAGGGATTTTTCTCTGCGAATGGAGAGACTACTCGTTTGAGAAGAAATCAGAGACGCCAAAGACGATTCAAATGCTCTTGGAAACAAAAGACTGCGAGCGACAGGCCCCGTATAAGCTCGTCGAGCAAATCGAGCAATTTGAGAGCGTCTTATTTGACAGAGGCGGCCTCGGTCATGCCGTTGTGAGCACAGGGAGCAACCCAAGCAAGACATGATTTGTTCTATTGCAGATAACAAAGCATCACCCAGGTCGCGAGCTCTTTCCGCGAGGCGGGCAGTCTGAGCACACCTTGCAACGCAACTAGGTGATGATACCTTCCCGTGCGCTACGCCCCTAAAGATCGGGACGTGAGCCTGGAGAGGACCGTAGGTCACAGCCTTTAGTAAATGGAGCTGTCGCTGTTTATCTCGACTGCGTGATGTGACCCTATCGTGCTGCATGCTGACGGAGCAACGATCATGCATTCCATTGCGCGGAGACGAGGACTTTGACTCCAGCGCACAAAGCACGCCCTGCGGGATGAGCACGTGGAGGATATCGAGCAGGCCAGATACGAGCGTGGTCAAAATTGGCCGGAAGGCCTTGGAGAATAACCGCTCCCGTAAACTCATCACGCAATTCAAGTAACTCCTATCGGGGAGATGTGGTACGTAGAGCCAGAACACGCGGTGGACACTTGAATCCGCTCCCTTACCACCCCCATGCATCCTACCTGACATGCGGAGGCCACCGTAAGCCCGCGCACCATTCCAAACGCGTGATTTTGTCTATGCCGAGCAAATCGAGCACACCGTCCCCTTACCTTCGGTCCCACAGCTGACTACATGTCGAAGATCCCACGCAGCAGTGGGCATCAATCACTTGTGTTTGTTTCCTCAGCTGCAACCTCTGAGCAAATCAAGCAAAGTCTCTTACTCTGAATTGAGGGGATGAAGAGGCGTGAGCGCGTCGAGCACATCGAGCACGTCCCCGAGGTACACTCGCGTCTCAATATCTGCGTGCACGAGTGCGCACTCCGTCTGCTTCCTGGGCCCGCCTTCTTAGGGCCTAGCATAGCTACACAGAGCCTTGCGCGCGGTCCGAGGGCATCGATCGCAGTAAGCGCACTAAGCACCCTGTGTGGATCGAGGGCTCACGCTACATGGTCATCCAGCATCCTATTCTTCGCACCGTCGTTACATCCATGGGACTCGTGACCGAGGCCCTTGGGCGCGCTTGCTGACATCTCCATCAAGGCACGCTTGGCTACTACTGCGCTGGTGCACCGTCGTCATGGATATGCCAAGTCACTTCGTTACGCCACAGAGCCGCTCCAGGGGAACTCGTTCATTTGGGCGTAGTCTTTGAGCATACCAGGTGCAGTGTTGGGTGCTTTGTCCAGGGCGTAGAATCAAGCGCACGGGATGGTAATACCACGCGGTCTGGTAAATGTCCAATTATAGACACGTTGCTTGTTGAGGCTCGGAATCTGGTCTCCAGGTGCTGAAGGGCCCAGATACAAAGAAGTATTTATCGAATGAACTAGGCGTAGCTTCACTAAGAAAGTGTTCCTTGTAACAATATACATGATGATTGCTCTCACGCTCGCTGAGCCCTTGGCGATGCAGTCGGGGTAGCTTTTCACACCCGGGCATGTTGAAGTAGCGCTGGAGGTACACCGAAGCGTACAACTGTACGTACTAGATTGAAGCTCATCACCTCTGGGCATGCCCACTTAACAGCCAGACGCTAACAGGCCCTAACATGTCCACCATGCCGGGTCTGCACAATCGACCGTCCTTTCAGCCATACCTGTGCGCGGACGGGGATCCACCGGTACGCGAACATTCCTGCCACGCCCATCCATGAAAGCTCCTGTGATTCGTGAGTAACTGGTTGAGTGGCGCACTTTGAAAGTGAAGGAAGTGACAAAGGTGTGAGCTCATGTGTGAAAAGACGGAGGAGGGAAGCGTGAAGAAGAGGCCTGATTTGCAGGGAAGCACGGTCTTGTGAGGTTGACTTGGCTTGGGGGGCGTAAGCTTGCGCTCGGTGATGTGGTAGCCTCAGCATCTCAAGCACTGCGGCCCACCACGAAATGGTGCCATCTATTGTCCACTGCCCGTCTGCCATACTTGCGCCATCCCTTTACCTCCTCCCGACAGCCTCGTGTCCGTCGTCCACCCCCCGGATCCTAGCCCCTCCACTCCCCAATCTCCTCATACTCCTCCTCATCGTCCTCTGCCCTATCCTCACCCTCGTCCCCCTCCTCTCCGTGCAATCCCGGAAACGTCTCCTCGCCCCTCCTCACCGGACGATGCGGGTACTGGGCACACAAGTTCCACAGCATACCCTGCATCCACTCCTCCGCGCCACTCGTCTCCGCCATGCTCACGACGCCCAACCCCTTCAACCACGCGACCGCCTCAGCCCGCACTGCCCCGTTCTTCCCCTTCTCCCTCCCCTTCGTCATCCCCCACGCCTTATCCATCTTTACAAAGTCAATCAAGAGCAACAACCCGCCCAGCCCGATCCTGCCCGCCAAGAACGCATACTTGCACCCGAGGGTGCGCCAGCGTCGCAAGTTGCGCTCCAGCGCCGTTGTCGCCTTCGCGTCGGTGTTGGGGTCGGGCACAAGGCGCACGAGATTGGCGCAGAGAGAAGGCAGGTCCCGCAGCGTGCCGTGCGGCACGTCAGTCACCAGCCGCCAGAACTTTGGATTCGCATCGCTCGCCGCCACCGCGAAGAACAGACAGTGCGCGACGGCAACCGCGTGCTGCAGGCGCGTCGAGGGGCGGAACGACGCCATGAACGCCACGCGCGCGGCGAAGAGCTGCGCGAAGGACGCGCCGGGGGGGTCGGGGGGTGAGTCGCAAAGGACGAGCGCATGCGCGGGGGGACGGGCGATGTGGGTTCGAAGGGCGGAGGGCAGCATGAGAGAGGAGGGGTGTAGGCGGAGGAGGCGCGTCCACCATTGGGAGGAGGTCGGGCCGCGGGGGAGCTTGGTGCGTGGGCCGCGAGCGGCGGGCTCCGTGGCCATGCCTTCTGTAGGTGGGACCTGGACTGAGGCCGTTTCTCCCACGGCTGGCGAAGGGCCAGAGAGGAGGTCGGCCAGGAAGCGGATGTTGTCCGCCACGGCTGCGGGCCATGCATGGCCTTGGTCATGCAGATGTTGGAGGCGCTGTGCAATTAGCAGACGAGATGGTGGGCACGGGCGTGGGCTTACCTCTCGCGCCCGTGCATCACCGAAGAGTATGTCCAGACTCTGGGCCAGCATGCTGTAGTCGTAGGGTGCGCCTGCGTCGGAGTCATCTGTCAAGTAAGCAGGCGACGCTGCCCCAGGTGCTCTGTCTATTGGCGTAGCTGCAGCCGCGCTGAGATGGGACCAGTCTCCCGACCCAAAATTGGGGGAGTGTGCGTCCATCGAGGCATGGACGTCAGACCAGTCCTCTCCAAGAGCTGGCGTGCCGTGGAATTCCAGCAACTCTGGCAGAGGTTGCTCTTGGCTTGCCTCTCCGGCTCGTGCCACCTGGGGTACTCGTACCAGGTTTCCGCGAACCCCCTCTACCCCCTGCCCCCCTATCCCATCGTTCCTCGAGAGGCCGACATTCGACCAATCTCCAACCTCGACGGGCGAACCTTGATACAACAAGTGGTCTTGGCACCTCGACGAAGAGATGGACATCGGTGTTGTCTGCAACGTCTCCGTAGGAAACAGCGGATCCTGGAATGGGTGCTGCCCCCCCAGCCATTCTCCTTCCTGGACCCCTGGCCAGCCGTTTTGCTCTCCGTGATCCGCGGCCCACCATCCGGCTTGATCTGATGGTTTCAGCGCAATTCCGAAGTCACTCGGGCCGTGCAATGCCCGGATCAGCAATGTACGTACCTGGCAAGCTTTGTCGAGACGAGCCCTGGCAAGCCGCAAACCCAAAGATGGAAGCAGCGTCGTAGTCGAGCGGAGCCTGAGGGGTACCGATCTGGTAACCCGAGTCCAGCATTTGGTCATGGTCCTGATTCTGATGCTGCATCGTCCGCATCGAGTGTAGAACGCTAGACGAACTCAAAGCGCGGAATCCGGATCTGCGGTGGCGGCTCCGTGCCTGACATAAGACTGCCCAGCAAGCTTCTCCTCGTCGAGACACCGTCTTGCGCGCGTTCGCTCGCGGTTCACGCGATGCGGGTCGACTTGTGGGCATAACATCTCACTATCTTCAGAGTGCGGCGACGGGCCAAGCGTGGTCCGGTTTGGCCAATCAGAGCGTGCATAGCGGTGGGGGCGAAAAGCAAACATGTGATGGTTTGTGATGGGGTGAATCAGGGCGTCAGCTTTCCACGCAACCTCGCTACACCGACTTTTCAACGACTCTCTACATCTTTTGGCCCCACTCCACCTCTGCCAGCCACGGTCTCGAGAAGGTTGATGATTCGTGAGGAAGTGACACCGCCAGCTATCCACCCTTCCCCTGTAGCCCCCGTCGCCCGCCCCCCGGATGGGACGGCCTCCATCACCCCCCGGTTTTCCCTTGTGGTACGCAAGGTGCAAAGCGAGCAAAGTGAGAGAACGCAGCGAGCTCAGCGCCCAGCAAATGGCCAGACGGTGACATCGAGCAACGCCGGCCGCCCATCCAAGCAAAATCAGATCGCGCGCATCGAGCAGCCCGAGCGTGGCATCGCGAGGCACGAGCACATGCAACGAGCTCGGAGGGGAGTTAACTGAGGGATGGAAGATGCAGCATCATTCTCGTTAGGTTGTGGTGGCAAAAGTGATGGCGAGCAACGGAGAAACTGGGCGACGGGAGCAGCGAGACCGTCTGCGAGAAATGAGCCGTGAGACGCCGCCGAGCCAACCGAGCCAAATGAGCGGCGGAACCGACAGAAGACGACGCACTGGCCGAATACACTGCCCGCCACTGCGCACCCAGCGGGGACCAACTCATACGGCAGCTACCATTCCTGGTGGAACCCCATCGTATATCCTGAAGCCCTCGGATCTCACGCCCTGCGACAATCCTTAGCACTCAAACGCTTCTGATACTGAGAGATTCATCGTTATTTCCATCGCCAAAGCAATACAGCACGCCCATGCACACTTCCAGCGCGCCAGTACCGCTGCCGCAATGCCCGCGCGACCCCTCTCGCACCGCTGCCAGTGCACATCGCTCGCCTCGTGCAAATGCCCCCTGACCACGTTACGGTACAACACGCGCTCCCGCGTGGCCGCCGTCACCCCAGAAGTAGAGGACAGCCCGAGGGCCGTGGCCAAGGACGACGGCCGGGCTCGCGCCTACCCACCTGGCTCCTCGTCGGAGGCCCTCTCACCAACGCCAAAACACGGGCAACTACCAGCATCCTCTCGCGGGCCGGTCGTGGCGCCGATCAGCCGCCTCCCGCTCCACCGCCACAAGCCAAACATGAACAGTCCGCGCATCGTCATCCCGCCTCACCCTCCGCGTCTGAGCTCGTCTTCGAAGCCCCGCAGCCCACTCGCAGCACCTGTGGCAGGACAACCTTCTCGTCCCCGGCCCATGCAGGCGCCCACTCCTCTGCCGGTCGCTGCGAAGCCCAGCACGCCCGTGGGACGTCGCACCACGAGAGCACCCAGCACCGGTCCGTCTGCGCTGCAATTCACGTGCGTATCGCCTACGCTCGAGCTGGGCGCTGGGGGGATCCACATATCGAGCTCGCCGGCGGGCGGTCGAGTGAGGCTCCGTCAAGGTGCGCCGGTGCGTAGGGCGGGCTCTGGTGAGCTGCAGTTGGAGGATGTGTTGCCAGCCCATCCGAAGGCAGGGAAACGTCAGGTCCTCTTTGCGTCGGTCGAATGCGCGGTCGAGGCGCCGATTTCAACAGATGGGCAACCGGCGCACCGGCAAGAAGCCGACGGTCCGGTTGCAGGGCCTGCCAGGTCCAGCGTGGCCAAAGGGAAGGAGCGGATGCGGACGCAAGAAGGTGCAGCGGCGGGACCAGCGGGAGCGGGAGGAGGTGATGTCGCGAGATGCCAAGGAGACGAAGCGGCTGAAGATGGGCAAAGGATCGGTGGCGTTCTTGCCCGGAAAGGCACAAAACGTGTGCACTTTACGCTACCCACTTGCGGATCTCCCGCCGTCGAGGCCAGCCCCCACAAGAGGGCCCGCAAAGCGGCCAGGCCACACCAGAAACCCCGCGAAGAGGCTAGCCTGGAAGACGTCTACCACTGGCTGTGCGCCACGCACGCGGTCCAGATGAAGCACGCGGCGCTGCGCACCCAGGCGCACGTCGACGGCAGCCTGGCGTTGCTCGAGGCCCGGCTCGGCGACAAGCAGGCACGGGTGCAGAGGACGGTGGCCAGCGGCTTCGAGTCGGTGCACAGCAAGATGGAGGGTCTACACACCCAGACGGCGTCGGCACTGTCCCAAGCGGCGATGCAAGCTCAGCAGCAGGCGCACAGTCTGCAGCAGCGCGTCGCGGCTCACGACTTCGAGCAGCGGCTGGGCTTCACCGCGCTGCGGCACAGGCTGGAGGAGCTGACCAAGGGCAGCACCGATGATGCTGCCGGGCTGCGCACCGCGGTCGACGGGCTACGCACTGCCGTCGAGGACGCGGTGGAGCAGATGAAGCTCGAGAGCCGCAGACAGGGCGACGACGTGCGGCGCGACATCGCCCTCGCAATCGCGGCGGCAACGGGGCCGAGCGAGGTCGTGCGGCGGAGTGCGCGGGAGCGTCTGCACGAGCGAGCGCGGCGCGGGGAGGAGCGGACCCAGACGCCCGGCGGCGAGTCGTCCAGCGGCGGTGGTGCGAAGGTGGAGCAGCAGCGCAGTGCGAAGGCGGCCAGCGAGCGCTCCGAGCAAGCGAAGCCCCCGCTGGGTCGCAACCCTTTGGCGGGGCACCAAAAGGGTCCGGAGGTTGAGGAGCGCGTCCGGCAGCTCGGAGAACGCGACGACGGGCAGCAGGCGCGCCTTGAGCAGCTGCAGCCCAAGCTCGCCCACGTCAGCAGCAGCCCTGACAACGACAGCGGTGCCAGCAGCCCCGTTGTGCAGGCCGTGGAGACTGGGGGCGGAGGCGCCAGCGGCGATGCTGCGGGACGAGCCGACGCCAGCGGCAGCGAGCACCCCGAGGACACGAAGCCCCCGCTGCATCGCAGACCGCGCACGCCAGACAGCGCCGCCCGCGGTCCTGGGGAGCAGAGGGCTGGGAAGCAGAAGGCGGACGAGGACGAAGCGCGCCCCGCTGTGCAGGTCCTGGAGAGGGGCGCCCGAGACGCCGCCGCCGAAGCGCGCATCGCCACGCTCGAGGCTGACCGCGCACACGCGCACCGCAGCTGGCGCACCCAGCTCGGCGGGCGCCTGGCCGCGCAGCAAAATGCCGAGCGCTACGTGCGCGGGCTGCAGCGCGTCGACGAGGTTGCAGCAGGCATAGACGGCGGGCCGGGGACGCCTGGGGCCAGGATTCGGAGGGGCGTGCGCGGTTTGCTTGAGGGAGACGACTTTGTAACTTCGGGCGACGACGACGACGACGACGACGACGACGACGAGGACGAGGACGAGGGCGGCGCGAGGCATGTGCCGGGCGCGTTTGACGTGGGGGATGGCGAGGGGGATGGCGCCGTGTTGTCGCACGTCTAGCCGCACGTCGCCCTCGGCGTTTGACGAGGGCGAGGGCGATGGCGAGGGTGAGGATCAGGGCGAGGCCGCGGTGTCGTCGTAGGTGGGGAAGCACGTTTGTACGGGGAGCCAGTTTCCATTGCGAAATAGCGCCAACTGACCACTTCACCACCACTACCTGTACGTTGGAGGTTCACGTGTGTTTTCCTGACAGGCTAAAAGAGAAAGTTCTCCTCTATCTCAACGTAGTAATGATATATTCCACAACCATGGGTACGTGACTCAAGGAGCAGGCTGTCCTGGAAAGCGAGCGCCGCGTACTCCCACGAACACCTTAACGTCCACCATGGCTATCGTTGCGACCTATTTCACTCGTTCCATAGGCCATGGTGATGCTTCGCACATGCCCACAACATGTTCCGGTCGCCACCATCCATGGAGCGGGTACCCAGGGCATCACATGACAGGTCTATTGAAGACGTCCTCTTCCTCGTCGCCCACATCCTCGTCCTCGTCCTCGACGTACGCGTACCGCTGACGCTCCTCATAGGCATCTGCAACGCCGTCTCCAATGTGGCCTTTCCCACCGTCCTCGACATCGCCTCCCACGCCCTCAGCCGCGCCCTCGACTCCCTCCCGAGTTTCGCCAACCATCACCGCGAGCACAGTCAGCGCGTGGCACCAGTCGCGCATCGTCCGCCTCGGGCCCGCCATCATCAGCTGGCTCCCGACCGGCAGCGCCATGGGGTTCGCCTTGCCCCTGCCGTCGCCTCTGCCCTTCGTCTTTCCCTGCGCCGCGGATCCGTCCCCCAGATCCGTGCTGCCGTCCACCACCGTCATGTTGATGCAGTACCCCCAGCAATGCACGTTCGGCCGCTCCCCCCTGTCGAGTGGTACGCGAAATTGACACACGATGCCGCGCGGGTCGATGACGACGTCCGTTCCGTCGCTAGCGTCGGCGAAGCGGACCATCACCATGGGAAACCCGGAAGCGCGGTCCAGAGACACCCACGCCATGCGCAGCCGTGCCTTCTTCTGTGTCTCCTCTCTGTCTAGGGTGTGCTCGGCATCCACGACGCGCGGAGTCGCGAGGCTGGCCAAGACGTCGTCTGAGGAGCGGGCTGCGAGGGAGGCGGCGACGTTGCTGCGTGCGTGGTCCTCGGCTCGGGAGTCTGGGTCTGGGTGCGAGGCTGCGTCGGCATCGCTCTCCCTGGATGCGCGTGATTCGCCGTCTGCGTCGCTGTCAGACTTGTGCCCATCGCTTTCACCTCCCGCCGGGCCTCGGAGTCGGAACGGCAGTATGCTCTGCTGGCGACGTACTGTGTCCTCGTCCTCCTCTTTCGCAATGACCATGTAGTTGCCATTCACGTCATCCTCCCAGCCTCTCGTCTCGATAACGCCGCTACCGTCGTCCCCGCTCATATCTTCGGCGCTGACCCACACCTTGTGGGTCCGGAGCAGTTGGGACTGCCGCTGGCAACTCTCATCGAGGCGCTGTCGTGGTTGCAGCGACGATAGCTCGCCCGTCAGATCCGGCACTACCGGTGGCGCAGGTGCGTCTTTGATGGAAAGGCGTTTCCCGTCCTTTTGCACCTCCCTTGTGTGTGCCCGATACGTCTCGTCCAAGCGCTGCAGGTGGACCATCGAAGATGTCGTGCCACCGCGATACCGTGCCTCGATTAGGGTTAGGGTTACTACGCTGCTTCGACAAGTCCTGTGGTGTTGGTAGCGGACTTCAAGGCATCGCCGAGTTCAGCGTGAAAATGACCATGTCGCAGATGCACCGTATCTATGCGGTCATCCGTCTCGGCACGCTCGAAGCAGACGGAGCAAACATGGCCCACCGCCACGCAATGAGAAACGACGCACCCACCCGTCTCAGCGCACAAACCTGGAAACAGCAAAGATGAAGCCACATCGTCCCGGCGGCGCACCCACCCCACTTCGCTCCATCACCTCGCTGCACCGCTCCCATGGCCTCGCCCCCATCCACCGCGGGTGAGGATTGGGTGCCCCTGAGGGTGGCTGAGACCGTGCTGCAAAACATGCACGCCGAGGCGAAGGCTGAAGTTCTGGAGGCGCTTCGGAAGAACGAGGAAGAGACGGCTGAGGCTGAGGAACGCGTGCGTAGCGCGGAAGACAAACTTCAGCGCGTCACGCAGGCGTTGGAAAAACAGAAACAATGTACAGAGTATGCAACTTTGGCGTTGAATGCGGCCCGCGAGGCAGCGCAAGAATACAAGGAAAAAACACAAGCCCAGCTGGAGAGCGTGGCCGAATTGAACATGGCTCACGGCCAGACGCTGCAGCAGCTCCTGCAGTTGAGGAATCCCCTGCAGCTATATCTCAAGGTTCGGGATCCGGATACAACGCCCACCACTGGCTCGGGGTCCGAGACCACTTCCGCAACGCCGGTGAAGCCTCGAGGCAAAGCCCCGGCACCGTCGCGATCCAGCCTCCAAGTGCCGACCCAGAGCCCGCCAGGTCCGTACTCTTATGGCGTCAAGACGTTGTACCTTAAAGGCGAGCGTCTGCACGACTTCCACCGCATCTTTGACACGAGCCGGCACGAGGATACAAGGACGGTACGTGACCATGTGTTGACCGAACCATTCCTCAAGACCAAGATGAAACTCGATTCAGTCGTATCCATAGCAAGGCATCAAAAGGTCGCCTTGAGTCTATGCGTCCAGACAATTGTTGATCGACACTGACTTTCCAATAGGCATGGCACACGATGCGCTACCTTGCCGAAAGCGCCCTCATAGACCAGCAAGTCGTGCTCATTGCGTACGGCCAGTCGGGTTCCGGCAAGACGGCGACGCTGTACGAAGGCCACAAAACCGGCCCTGAAAAGATTCCCTCCTTTCTCGACTACATAGGCGAGCTTCTGTTCAAAGAGCACGGCGAGCAGAAGTGGTCCATCCATGCAACTTGGATTGAGGTGTATGGAAAGGTCATGTACAACTTGGCCCATCCACGCGATAAGCAGCATCCTCCAAGGAAAAAAGCTGCCAACTCCAACACGTCCAGCGATGAGGTCGAATATAACCGCGGTGGGGCAAAGCCCCTGGATCCCGGCGTTTTCCCCTACTCTTCTCTGAACGACTACATTCTTTATAAGAATACCCGCACGTCTCTTGCCCCAACGACTCTCAACTCTGCCGATGAACTCTCGAAATTCAGGAAACACTGTCTCGCTCGCCGCCACATCGATGGCGGCGACGCGAACGGCACCTCATCGCGCGGCAACGCCGTATTGACCCTGCGCCTGTTCTGCGATGGCGCACCCCGCGGCGCTATCGCGTTGGTGGACCTGTTCGGCGCGGAGGAACAGAAAGCTGGAGATGTGAAACAAAAGAACGAGCGCGGCCCTGCCACCAACGACATCGAGACCCTCGGTAAACACCTGCAAAACCTATCCCAGCATAAAGTGTCTCCTATTCCGCCGCCTACGATACGCCAGTCGAAGCTGCTAGGGTTGCTTGCAGGCATTTTGCAGGGCGACAAGGTCATGCCGGCCGACGGTGGTGAGCAGCGGTACAAATTGCCCAAGGTCGCGGTGCTAGGCCACTTGACCCGGGGTCGGGAGCTTAACAATAAGAGGACGGTGGAGAAGCTGATCATGTGGGGCGAGAAGGGAGATTTGGGCAAGGGAAGCAGCAAAGGGAAGGGTGAGGCGAAGGGAAAAGAAGGGTTCGGTACCGAGTGTGCACTGTGCACGACGATAGAACGGGAAGTAGATAGATTGTCCGAGGAGGTCAGGAAGCTCGAGAAGGAGAATGCTGAGTTGAAGCGTTAGAGGCAGGAGAGGACTACGGACTCTGAGTAACAGAACAGCAGCATAGGTACGACAGCGTGGCTGGGGTATGAGAGTGTCATCCTCCATTCTGTGCTCTACTTGATTCTACTCTTAGCTCTCCTTGTGCGCTTTGCCATTACCCTACTCCTTCTCCTTGCCATCAACCTTCTCCTCCTTGATATCACCCGTCTCCTCCTTGATATCACCCGTCTCCTCCTTGATATCACCCGTCTCCTCCTTGATGTCACCCGTCTGCAGCTCCAAGCGGCCCACCCTCCCCGCCAACTCATCAACCTTCTCTTCTAGCCGCGCTATGGCACTGGGGGCTCGGTTGAAGCTTCCCAGCGTGCGCGCAGCGGAGCGCCTCGGCTCAGGCTCACCTGGGTCAGAGAGCGAGGGCTGGACTTGGGGCTGCTTGCCTTCGTCTGTGTAGGTCGTCTTGGGCTTGGGATGGGTCTTGGGAAGCGGTTCCGTGGGCGGAAAGACGGGAAGGCTGCCGAAGGCGAATTAGCATTCTGCGTTGTCTTGACGGTATAGGGGCCTAAATCGTCTGCACATGTCCAGGGTGAGATGTAAAGGGTGGTGTTTTGGGGGTGAGAGATGTTGAGAACTCACGGTGCGGTGGCCTTCTTCTTCGCGGGGAGGAAGGCCGAGCGCGAGAAGGCGAGGGTCCGGATCGGCGGCTTGGTCTTGCGTAGGGCTGCTAGTGTGGAAGGACCCCGGACGGCAGCAGGTTCCTTGTTCAGTATGGGCTTTGGGGGCGTCCCTGGATTGGGCTGGGTGGTCGTAGTCTTTGCGATCTCGTCCAAGCTAAGCTTTGAGGTGGAACGCGTCTTTGAGGCAGGCTCGGGCCTTGACGCTGCCATCTTCGAGCGAGGCTTGATGGTCTTTGTCTCGGACTCTTCTTCGACGCTCGGCGCGCTGGGCGTCAAACAAAGGAGGTCGCGTTTGTGCGCAGGGCCGTACAGAACGCGCGCATGGGGTGAGCCGTGGGGATACTGCTGCCAGTCGTGCTTGTGGCAGTAGGGCTGGCCACCTGCTGGGAGTTCGCACCTCGTCCCGTCAAGGGTGGTGCCCAGGCAGCGCATTGTTTGGCGTTGGATTTCTGTAGAACAAAGGCACTAGGAGAGATGACGAAGCGGGAGCGGGATTCTGGTACCACTCGCACGTTCACGTTGGATGGATCGAAACTGCGGCGCTTCGCAGAAAAGGCGATCGGTGCAGATGTTAGCATTGGATTCTTATGGGGATGGCATCCATGCGGCGAGCCGTTTGAGAGGTCGCACAGCAGTCTACCGGCGGTGGGCTGAGACGCCATCACCGACAAAGAACAAACATGGACAAAGAACGCCGTGATTCAAATAGGAGCACACTCGCCGCTCGACGGTGACTCCTCGTCCGAGAAAAGAGATAGCGGAATGGCACCACGCAAGCCCTGTCCGCCGGCCGTCGCACGCCCTGCGCGCACGCGCTCCGTGCCGGCCTCGTTCAACTATCGCACCCCTACCCCTCGAGTAGCTCCTCCACGTCCTGGCTGGCTCCATCGCATCGCCAAAGTCCGTGTCACCGTTGGAGCCGCCATGCACGCCCAGCGGCGCAACGTCGTCCGCGGGCTCGCGGTGCTGGCGTGCGCCTATGTTGCTCGGAACCTGCGAGCGTGGGCGACGCAGGAGCCTTCGCCCCTTGTCACTCGGTATGTGCATCCCAATCCAAAGTCGCCTTTGATCTAACCGCCGTGCCCAGCTGGCGCCAACATCCCCAGTGGATGCACACGTCGTCCTCCTACGCCGTCCTAGGCCTCCATCCGCCCCTTGATCCCAGCTGGGTCCCCCCGTACCGCATTGTGCGCGTCGCCATGCGGAAGCAATCAGCAAAGTGGCATCCCGACAATTACCGCGAGAACGGGGTAGACCAGGCTACAGCAAGGCGTATCTGGAGCGTGTTCGCATCGGTACTGGACCATTTCGACAATTTCTACCGCAATCCTGCGTCCATGCGAGCGCGCTGGGGCGATCACGGCGGCCTCTTGAATCCAGTGGACACTGGACTGCCACACTGGAACAACAAGACCGAGGGCGCGTTCGAGGCGCTGTGGGCCCTATTCGTGGAGATGGTGCACGCAGGGGCAACGCCGCCCCATCGCCAGGCAAAGGGTATGTTGCGAACGGTCCCCATGTTGACCCTTTTCTTGCTACTCGACAGCTGACGATGCTTTCCCATTCAGCGCCCCAGACCGAGGCCGAAGCCGCGCTCTACCATCCACGCACCTGGCGCCATGTGATTGAGGGCCTGAATCCCCGTCGCTCGCCCATCCCCCCCTTGGGGATCGCCCGCTACTACACGTGCTTCAACAACTCACCCTCGTACCACCCCATCATCGTGTTCCGGCGATTCCTCAGCATGTTCGCCTTGGTTCCCACCATGTGGAGCGAAGAGGAGAAGGAAAGGTGGGCGGATTGGCTCCTCGACGTTGACTTGGCGCCATACCATCCCATGTGGCAGCGTTTCTTGTGTGGTTGGAGCATGCATGACGAGTAGTTGCGAGAAAGAAGAACAAGACTCGTCGATGTCACTAAAGATTGTCAGGCACGGTTTCCAATCGCCCGGGCCGCCATGCTGCTCAGCGTGGCTGTGGGTAGGGCGGGCTGGCCCCGTGTCGTCAATGGGCAACACTGCTGCCAAGTGCCACCACGACTACATCTGCGATGACATGTTCGTAGAGCATCAAGGTCGATCGCGCAAACTATGCTCAGATCATGCAAGTCGATTCGTGCTACATGGGTGTCCTGTTGCATTTTCTCGATACCGTTGCGAAGACCACCTTTCGCATTTGAGGGACTCGAGCTATATAGCCTCTTTGCATTCGAAATCTAGCTTGAACCCCGTTGGTTGTCACTTTCATCCTCCCATCTGAACTCTTCGCCCACATGTTGCCCCGTCATGATTACGTTTCCTATCCTCCCTACCTCCAGCCTTGCCGCGTCTGGACCCTCACGGAACGCCTTGTACGCCTGTTTCTTACGCTCGAGCGCGGCAGGTACGCCGTGCTTCGCCTCCATGTACTTTATTAGGTTCTCTTTATCGACCACTATCGGACGAGTCGTTGCCTCGACCCTTCCGATCATGAGCGTCACGTCGGCGCTGTAAAGCATAGTGAACATTGTTTGCGCGGGGCCTTCGCCCGTTTTCCATTGTTGACATGAGACGCCCCGGTTCAAGAATCTGCATTTCCACTTTGTCAACATGTCCACGTCGGCGCCCCAAGCGACCAAGATGAGCTTGTACATGCCCTGAACACCGAGCTGGAACAATGACATGGCTTCGTCAAGTTGGGTGGCTAGCGGTACGAGAGACCCCAGGTACTCGGCGTAGGTCTCATCTACCGCGGCGAGGAACTGCGTGAGGACCTCGGCTTCGCAGCTCCCCACTTCGGCATGGCTCGTCGCCGGCTGCTCCCATCGCCGGACGAACGCAAAGGACCGTATGAATGTGATGGCCGGGTTCGTCGCGGCAGCAGAGACTGCGCACGACGTAATGTTTTCGAGCGCGAGGCGCATGTGCAGAGCCTCTTTCGTCACCATTGTCTGGCGCAACGTCTGCATCTCCCCTGCCAGAGACAGCACCATCGTTTTGCTCCCGAGGATCATGCTTTTGTACAATGCCCGCTTCGTTTCGTTGTACTGGACGAAATCGGGCGTGGTGACGTTGGCCAGCATCGTGGGAACCAGCTTGCCCCTGTGGTCAGGCTTCTCTTCGGTCAGCCTGTCCGCGCACCGAGTGATGCTTTGCTGCGTGTACGTGAAGAAGCGCGGCGGGTCGCAGAGGGCTCCGCCGTCGGGACAGGAGAAGGGTGGGGACGGCGGGTGCTCGCTGGCAGGGGAGGCGTCAGTCCCCGCATGGACGTCGGGCGTCGCTGCGAGCCAGGGACTCAGCAAGTAGATGGCCACCAGTAGCGCGCAAACGACGCCCAGTGCGGAACTGACGGAGCACAAGGAACGCGCAGGTCCAGCCTCGCTGCTGGGGCGGCGAGAAGCCTGGATCGGTGGGCCAGCGGGAGCCGGGTCCGCAAGCCCCGAGGGGCCCTGCCGCGCATCGTGTGGAGTCTCCTGCACGTCAGTCCAAGCGGCACGGCGGATCAACGACCGATGCTTATTCTCTCGGAGGTCTCGCCTACGCAGTGCGTCAGCATGAATCGTCGACGGACAAGCCCTTGCCAGGAAAACCTACGGCAGCCTCCGGATGGCCCCCGCCTCGAGCGATGCATCGGCCGCCGGGGCTCTGCGTTCTGCGTACGTGGTACTCGCCATGAACTATGGTGTCGACTCTATTTGACGAGAGTATGGGCGTTGGGATTTCCCGAGGAGGCGAAAAGCAAGGCGAGGTAATGCCGTCCGACGTCCACCGTCCGACGAGCGGTGCTATCGTGCGGGCGGGCACGTTCGTGCACAGCCGCCCTCGCGCTGATCCACAATAGGCATGGCGTGACCCGTGGGTGAATGACAGCTCACGTGCCCCGCACGGGCCGGCGCCGGGGTCGCGCGGCGGCTGGTCGGTAGCATCTACGGTTGGCACGGGCCAGGATCCGCCTCCAATAAGCCATAGCTTCGGCGGGCGGCGTCCGCGCTGTGCAAAGCGGACTCGGGTTGAAGCCGCGCTGAGCACACGTGACATAAACCGCCCGGAAACGCACCTCGCTCGCGCGAAGAGATTGCACTTTGCACATGCTCGGAACGGAACAGACAACAACGATCAGCACAGGAGGTACGTTGACGCATCGGGGCCGTAGAAGGCCCCTCGCAAGTCCCCGCCCCTCGAAGGGATCCATTCGTCCCGAGTCCACGACGACAAGCGAACCGCGTTCTCAGGGTCATCATTCCCCGCAAGCACACGAGTCAGAGGACCTGGCAATCCTCGGGCCACGTGAACAGGTGAAAACGTCGACTGACTCTCTTCCCAGGTGCCAGCGCTCAATCGAGGAACCGCGGATCTTCAGCTACCCATTGACGCATGCCGCGCCCGTACGAGATTGAGATCCTCGCCGGTGCCCTTGCGCAAGACATTGTTCACATCTGCGGCTGGGTCATGGCTTTCTTCGAAGCGTTGCTCGACTTTTGCACGAGGCACTGGGAGCCCCTCAAGGATACGATCAAGGCGTACCACCGGAGGCGCGTCTGGGTCAATCTCGCCGTGGTATTCGTGTCGGCGCTCTCCTTGGGGCTCTTACTCTACCTCGTGGTCCTGCGTGCACCTTCGGCCGTGCCGGTGATGCGCACGTCGGAGCGGCAGTCGTTTGTGGAGGCGTGTGACAGGCAGTTCGTGGACGACCAGCGACGGTGGGAGGCGAGGATGGAGCTTTGAGGAAAGGCGGGGTCCAGGAGAACATGCCCGGCGGATTGTTTTGCGATGAGGTAATTGGCGAATGCGTTTTGGGAAGTCAGCAACCTGCGGCTAGCCATGTCCCCTTGCCAGTCAGAGGACTTCTTTCCTGCTCGGCACCGACCGCACCGGCAGGCTTCCGAACATTAAATGGCAACCAGAGATGCGTGTTTACTTGGCCCATCCGACACCCACCAGACGTACGCAAACGTGGGGCCTTCTATGGGTCTGCTATCCTAACATGCTAAAGCACGAAGGTTTGGTGCGGTCTATACCCTACTTTTGGCCGGATGGGCATGGCCCTCGCTGTACTTGTACATTGTCATCGTTGTAAAGAACGCATTGTATGGTAACCATGACGTGTGTGAAATTGGAGTTGGCTTTCAAGATACCCTTCGAGCTGCTCAGCTTCTCTCGTCAGAGCGTCGTGCACGATGAATGACCGCCCATACAACCAATCGAGCAGCGTCTCTCCACGGCGTTAGGGTGCGAACCATGTTTGTTCGTAAGTTTGAGACGACGTCACAGCTGTTCCTTGGGCAGTCCATGATTCCTGGCACAGACACCGCAGCATCATGCTCCAGGCAGGCTCTACCACAGGATAGGCGCTTGCATCTATCTGCGACAAGAACACTTCCTGGGTCATCTCGCTATTGGAATGGCTCTGTGCTCGTTTCCTGGTGGAAGTGAGCGATTCAATACAAAAGAAAAAAAAATAAAAATTGAACAGTCCTTGGCCAAGCAAGGCCTGATCGGATGCCCGATGGGAGTTTGTGTGGGTACGTACATGCATCGCGCCGCAAGCGTAGCGTGGTTTCACAGCCTCCTGCTCGTTCAAACACACCGCCATTCCGCGAGCCTCGTTTGACTCTCATCAACCCTATTGCGAGACACCTGCATTGTGACGACATTTCGGTCGAAACTACACGCGCATAGTGACCGCCCAGAGACATCCATAATTGCATCAGCATCATCACTCCACTTCAATCTACAAGCAGTCTACATTCGACGCGTCAACTGTCGTGCCAGGAAGCTGACGCTTCATCCCAGCCCTTCACGACTTCACCCCGGGGTTGCATCGGAGACGATGGAAAACGCTCAGGAAACGATCTTACGGCTCCAAGAAGCCGTAAAACAGCAGGCTCGAGCTATCGACACCATACGCCAAGAACAGAAGGATACGGTCGCGGAGAACGACGCGCTTCATCAGAAGACTCTGGACTGGTCAAGGCGTTTCCCTGTCCTTGAGGACCAGAACCGCAAACTACTCAAAAAGAACAAGACAAAGGATGACGAGATTCAGCGCCTCCGGGCTCAAACCGCACACTTGGCGCAGCTTTTGGCTTCGCAGGGTGCGGGCGTGGAGTCCGTCAAAGAAGAGGTCAAGGACGCCAGGCAAGACATCGCAACCACCGCACAAGGCGACGGAACGCCCAGCGATCGAAGCTCTACAAAGGCGCTACGCGATGTCGAAACCCAGATGGAGAAACTCACGGTGGACGAAGCCGAAGAATTGCCTCACACGCACCTTCATGCCATGGCGGGAGCAGGGAGACATGCCGACATGCGCAAAGCGCTCGAGCCGCTCCTCGGTGGTAAGCATCTCAAGCTAACAACGCGAGCTTGGATACTAACGCTCCGGACAGTTGATATCACCGATGAAGTTTGCAGCCGCATCTGTGACGTCGTGATGGAGATTATCGGACCTGAGCTTGCCAAAGCAAATGCTCAACTCAGTGATTGCGTGGCAAGGTGGGAGCGACTGCTGGGGATTATTGAGTTCAAGGTCCTTCGTGCCCCGGTCAATCCACTGTCCGATATGAACAAGTACGCAGACCAGATTATAGTCAGTCTGTTTCTCAGACGGATCCAGAAGGACCAGGGAATCGTTCCTCCATCCCAATTCCCTCGGCCAGAAGATCTCGCTCGTAACAAGGAGGAAGACCTTTACGATTCCTGGAAGGATTTAGTAGCTAGCAAGCCTAAGAGCGAGGTTATTGACTGGGTACAGCGATGGCAACGGGATGAGCTTGAGAGCAGCGCCTTTGGAGACTTCCTGCACAACGCAGAGGCACAACACATCATGCGTAGCAGACACTCGAGTTTCCAACTAAACGCTGTTACCGATAGTAAGGAATGACATTCCAAGCAATGCTATCATAGTGGAAGATGGTACGTGGTACCTGTACTCAGTCTAGCCTTTCCACTTTATGCGTTCTGATATGGTGCCCTACACACGCCCATTATGCAGGCATACATCCGTACGATGCAGCCATCTTGCTCAAATCATTGCAGGCGAGAGGGAAAGTGTTTTCACTGCCTGACACCTTACAGGGAACATGAGTTAGGTAGGTTATGAGGAAGTGTGATCACTCTACTGCACCCAGGAACGTCGCTTAGGTTTCGTAGCTCCATACGAACCGATACCAATGCCCATCGGACGCGATCGAAGTCTTGTTCTTCTACTGAAGCTCACCATGGCGGCAACGTCCAATGTTCTACTACAACACTTGCTGCGTGGAGGATATTAGCGTGACGTCAAGCCTCTCCAACCGTGTGGCGATGGGACCATGAGAGCCTGTGATGGCACCGCCTCCCTGTTCTAACCTACACGGCCGCGCTTCGCACCATGAAGTAAGCTGCCATTCCCTTCAACCCCGCCGCAGTCTCTATATAGAACCGAACTCTCCTGCTCTCATCACCTCACTTCCTTGTGTGGTGCAGCCGACTCTCCTATTCTCCCCTTGCACATCAGAATGGCACCGTCAGACACCTACCAGGGCACCATCCTCATCAAAGGCCTTGCCGCCGAAGCTGGTCCTACTGTCGGCCCAACGTGCAGCACTGCCGCAACACCCCGATGGAGCTCACGCAGTGGCAGCCTGTTCTGGTGAGTCTTTGTCTGCTGTGATGCACCGAAGCAAATTGATGCCCCCAGTAGTGCGTACGCCAGCCCCGGTCTTGGTCTTTGCCTCCATCACTGGCACAGCTGCGGCCAGCAGTAAGCGGTCTGATCCATCCCACGGTCCTGACCCGCAGCTGACGACTCTACCCGAGGTGGCCCTGCTGGCACTTCCCCCTCGCACCCGATGGCTATAACATGGCCACGGCCCCATCGACGGTGGTAAGCGCAAAGGCCGAAACATGGAGCCCGAGTTTGAGGTCAACACGGCGAAAGGGCATAGCGACAAGCCTCAAGCCAAGCGCCCATGGACCAACAAATTTGTAAGTTTCATCTGCGTCTGAGTACAATGCCGTTGCCGCATTTGTCCCGCCCTACGCTGTGCCTTCCCGTTTCTTGGCTGACGCATCGTACCTGCTTGTCCAAGTCAACGCCAACACCAGCATCCTGCCCCAACTAGAGGGCACCGGCCAACCTCAGCGTGGTTCGTACGTTTCGCGTCAAAGTCCGGCAAGAATGCCCACCTGTACAGGACTTCGTCAAAGCACTGCAGACACTGGCTGGCTGGGCTGCTCCAGAAGATGGCAGGTCTGGGGGCTGATCTGAACCCGACTAACACTCTGAAGGTGTTGACGGCTGCTTGGATGGCGAACCAAGGTGTACATGCCATGCGTCACATGATGTGGGACTTCATCGCAAGGTTCTATCACCCTGGTGCACCCACCACGAGGTAAGCAAAAGAACAGGCCACATAGCGTCTTAAAGTCACATTTACTACGTTTTAGGAAATCCATTTAATTTCTACCTTCGCTACTATACATATGCGTTGGACGCAGTCGAGTTCGGACAAGGCCCCACAAGCCGTGCACCCTCTCATATTGGTCCATATCTCAAGACCGCGGCATTGTGTGGAATCACATAGCATGAGACCATTCTATCCCGATGGGATTATGCACGGCTTCCTTGTGGGGAAGAAGACGGTCGGCACTATAAAAGGCATGCGCACCCTCTACAAACGTAATGTGGCCCATCCTGGAAAAAGCACGTCAGAGCCATCAGCGCTCACCATCCATACTTCTCGTTGATGCCCTCGTTCCATGCTTCCAAGAAGTCCCAATAGTCGTGCACCCGTCCGGATAGTTCTCGGGGCGGCTGCACACGGGGCGCTGGGATGGCTGCGGACCCGGAGCCGGGTATAGGGGCGTGGTTCGCTGGTGACGGCGGAGTCGGGTTCTGAGTCGGAGCGGGGGCAGGGCCGTTCAACTGCAGCACGACGTTGGCGGGGCCATTTCTGCCAAGTCCACGGTATGCAGAGTTGCATATATCGTAGAGGACATTCATAAGCTGATGTAGAGCTAAAATGAATCGTTGGGGCTTGAATACGTGTGTGACCCCGCTAACTGTAGCATTAGAGGCAGCGATGCACATATTCTTAACCCCTACCCCTGCGTGTATAACTCCGCTAACTATAGCATCAGAGATAGAGTTGCACATGTCGTTGAGGCCACTTGTGAGCTCATCTAGAGCTGAAACGAATCGTCGGGATAGCGTACGACCCGACGGCAGGTTCTGTGCTTGCTGATGACCCGCTGGGATGCGTGGCTCCTCTACGTCAGGCATGTGTCCAGGAGTAAAGGGTCTGAATACGCGTGTAACTCCGCTGACTATAGCATCAGAGGCAGAGTTACATACATCGTTGAGGACATTTGTAAGCTCATCTAGAGCTGAAATGAATCGTAGGGGTTTGAATACGTGCATGACTCCGCTCACTATGGCATTGGAGCTAGAGTTGCACATATTCTTAAACCCTAACCCTAAGTGTATGACTCCGCTGACCACAGCATCAAAGACAGAAATGTACATGTCGTTGAGGCCGCTTGTGAGCTCATCTAGAGCTGAGTCGAATTGTTGGGATAGCGTAGGATCTGATGGCGGGTTCTGTGCTTGCTGAGGACCCGCTGGGATGATGTGTGGCTCCTCCACGTCAGGCATATCTCCACGAGCAAAGGGTGCACGCTGCGGAGTAGATCCTCCCTCGCTAACCATCGTGCGCATCGCAGAAAGCAGGTCGACGTTGTTAGCGGTGGCTTGTTCCGATGGTGCGGTGATGATCGGCTGTGAGTGGGTGTCCGAGAGAGTCTTCATGGCAGTCTCCTCTGCGCCTTGTGTACCACTAGTACGGTGCTGAGAGTGGTTCGTGTCCTGCATCCGCTGGTCGAGCTCAGGGTCCTGCTCTGCTCGCTGTGCTTTGATCTCGTTCATCTGAGTCTCCTGTGGAAGCCGTTCTTGGACGATGTTCATCTCGTTGGCGGCTGGTGCAACCCCTTGTCCCGTAGCTATCCTACTTAATTCTTCGTGAATTGTTGCCGCGTTTCCACTCATCGTGGCAATGTCGCTAGTTTCGCAGGTGCTTCTGCCACTCTCTCCTAGATATTTGGTGCACTTACGCCAGATGTGATTCCTGATCTCGCTTTCGGATATGTATGATGGATTGGAGTCTCTTTGATGCAGTTCTGGACGTTTGTGCGAACGATCTACTGGAGCCGTGGAGGGTGAGGTGGTTGGGCGGTTGTCTACTGTCGGTGGAGCTATTATGGTTATATTTATATGGGGGATCAGCACCAAGGCGGAGCTGCAACCTTGTTTTGACAACTCCACAAAGCCTGAAAGATGGTAGTGAAAGTAGAACAAGGCACAATACAGCCAATATCGTAAAGATTCATTGTTTCGAGAACAGTGCGTGAAGCTGCGCATGCATGAAAGACTGCAAGAATAAAAGCACCATTGGTGCTGTGCAAAGTTCTTGTACCACTTTACCATGGGTGAAAGGCAGTTTATATCGATTCATGACTCGTGTATTGCTGATGCATCGCTCCCTGTAAGTCAATTGAGTGTGGTGCCCCTTTTTCAACCTATTTGGGCCTTACTTCAGCCCGTTTAGGGCCAAAGAGGTTAAAATAGCGGTATCACAGTGAATTGACCTGTAGGGAGCAATGTATCAGTAAGATATGAGTCATGAAACGTGGTTTTAGGCATGTACAAACAACTAGATCCATGGAAAAGTGGTTCAAAAAAATTTGCATACGACAATACTGTGAGCCATGAGCGTGTGTTCTAGGACGGGTGGGATGACGCCCTCGCGAGGGAGTGAAGTAGATTACATGCTGTTGGTCGATTGAGGCGATGCAGTTGAAGATATGTGGCTTGGCATGAGCCGTGTGGATCCTGTTGATGGTCCTGTCTCTTAGAAGCCACGCTGCCGTATTAGCTGATGGGCTAAGTCGGTCATGCATGTCGGATCGCGCAAGATGGCTGTTGGATCTATATAGCATTACGCAAGGGCGGCGCGTCTTAGGCAGTTGCATGGTCGTGGAGGTACTGTCTCTTGGAGCCGAATTCTTCTCTGTAGGTAATTTGCCATCAATTCGATAAAAGCTCGCCCTGCCACCAACGTTGTAGAAATGCTCTTCTATATATGAATCCACCTGACAAACAATTGCCCTTGATGACAATGGTAGTGTTCTGTAGCCAAATATGCGTCGCAATTAGTAGAGTTTCCGCGCACGTCCCTCGTAATATACCAGACGTCCTAGGCTCGGGACCTTGGTGTTGGTCCCGGTAACGCTGCTCCACCCTCATAACGTGCAGCACTGCTATCTTTTCCATCGGACGAAATAAGGAAATGGGTCCCACCCGTAGCGCTAACCTGCGTGCCATGGAATCGCCCGTGAGTTAGTTAGAAAGCAGAAAACCTTCCAAACCTCTACCGTCAGCTTCCACTAACAAACTCCGTCATCCTCGCCGACTAGTACGCCTCGGTCTGCAGGACTTGCACTGTGAGTGAAAACAGGTGAATTGCACCGTGCTAGTCTCATCCATTGTAGCAATCGCCCCTTCCGGTTGGTATTGTGATTTCTCGGATTGGTACGATACTGCAAGCGACCGCGCCGCAAATGGAAATCATGTTGAACTGGCAGCTCTTCATCCCGAAACGTGCCTTGGCGAACAAGGCAGTAGATTGGAGATCAATTCCCCCTGCTTACCGAGTTTATAGCTCCGCGAGCGGGAATTTAGATTGCCCTAGAGACACTCGCACAACCTAGTACCGCTCCACGGCCACTGTATATGAGCTTTGATGCACCGGACGTGAGTGCATGGCCAGCCACATACCGGCGTTAATACGCCACCCGCGCACCGCGTTATGGTGGCTAGGTCAGCACCCAACCCCGGATGGAAGGAATCAAGTGCCTGCCTGCCAGACTAGGAAAAAGACAACTTCCCATCCTTGCGTAACCCCCGGCATCCATGAGCTGCGCGGCCTACACCAGCAATAAAACCTCCCTGCACGCGCTTGCAAGGGAAGGATAACTCAATGGTACTGGAGAGAGCGAGATTAGATGCCCAAGCGGGTGGCTATACTTTCAACCCCAGGTCTCTGCACAGCATTAGAACCATCCGAGTCTTTGATGAACGACGCATGATTGAACAGATTGATATACCTAAGCATGGCCAGCAAGATACGCTGGGACCAGTTCATCACCCCATCGTCCTCCAATCTGCCTCCGAGGCCGGTATGAGGCCTCTACCAGCCATCAAGATCACTTCGCGGTCCTTTGGCCAGCTATGAATGTTCTCTGACTCTGTGACGGTGGTACGAGCTTTCTAGCCTCAGTCAAACCGGACGCGGCGATGGTGACGGTGTCGAACTTTTTTTTTTTCTCCCATGGCCCACGGCTTTTCATGTCGTCGAATCCAACCTACCACTTTACATCCCATCCGCAACCCATGCTCAACGCTGTAGAATCATTATCTGCTTCTTTTTGGCTGCGTCTACTGTATAGTGCTTTTCGCCGTCACGCGCGGATACAGCTTCACCTGTCTCATTCCCAGCGCGATATGGAGCTGACGTGAATACCCGATGCTACTACGGCCTGCTGGTGTTAAGGAATATGGTGTTGCTACCCATCGTGCGAGTTGGAGCTGTAGTATCGTTCCGTGGGTGATCTCAAGGACCTCACTCACAAGTTCGTCCTCACGCACAATGTCGATGAACTATAGGTTCAATGTATTACAACGTGTAGGCGTTACTGCCAGGCGCGTGGAAGGAAGCGTTGATTGATCAACTGTGTTGGGTCTCGTGATTATCCCCAGCTTAGACTCTCCGTTCCTCCTCAATTCCGATCAAAGCCGCCCTATAGGCGGAGAAGCTTTCAAACTGCACGATTCTTGATGTTCCTACGATGCAGCTATTCACCGGCGCGTCCTAACCTCGTTCGCAGGAAAGGACGAAGAATAGGTAGTAAATGAGCAGTGTGGCAATGAAGGCAAAGATAAATTGTAGCAAGCACGTGTGCCAATCGATGCAAGAGGAAGCCATAGCCTGTAACGGGGGCGCCATGCGGGAACCGTCCGTCTGTGGAGAGTTGATCTCCGCAGATCCAGCCCCGTTGCTCTGCACCTTGTTACGTCCTTGCTCTTCCATCGTTCGTAGTGCATCTAATGCTTTTGCCCTAGCCGTCGCTTCATTACCCGTGGGGCTGTGATTCGCTTTATCGAACAGTTGGTCCTCCACGAACTCAGCTTCGGCGCACCATAAATCGTTGTTGGTGATGTTGGTCAACTTGGCCGACCATGCCCGCCTCTGGGGATCCGCTGCACCGCGAAAAGAAGCGGAGCCGTGCTCTAAAACATCCGCATAGTCTTCTTGCGTCCACGGAGCTTCGCCGACGCAGCTGATGTCGTGATGGCCGTCCTGTTCTGTTGAGAATGCTTCCCACGCCTGTTCCCCGACGCTGCGTTTGGTAGGATGCCAATACTGCTCTGTCCTTGCCCTGCCAACACCATGATCTCCAACCGCCACGAGGTGGATGTTGGGTCGCGGTGATGTTAAAGGTCTGGCGTTGTTCTCCCCACTGGCCAACACATCCGTACCCTGCGGACTTATGGCGTGTAAGCGAGCGGCCATTGTGTGGGAGGAGTGGTGAAATGGGTGGCGATGGTCTTCCGGATTCGTGTTCAAGTCCGACGACTGCCCGTCCTCGTGTTTTAGTTCCTTTCTTTGACGTTGCACCTCCGCCCAATGTTCCAGTTGCTTTTCAATTTTGATGACATGCTTTGACTGCGCTCTGAACTTTTGCCGCAGTCTCTGGAGATGCTCCACGAGCATCCCGACTTGATCAGAACATGCGGCCATTTGCAAATCACTGAGGCTGTGAAGTTTGAGTTGAAGGTGCGAAATCTGGATCGTGAGATTGTGGACCGTTCGCTGTTCCGCTGTCATGGTGAACGAACGCTCGGCTGTAGTCCGGGTGGATTCCAGAGAAGAGATTATGCTCCAAATCTCATCGGCATTCAGGTCGTCTTCCACGTGGTCCTCGTTGGGCCCTCGATTCACGGAGGAACAGTCCATACGTGGTTGAGAGTCAGATTCAGCCTCAGATCCCTGGGCCATGACAACATCAAACCCCTCCTCGATCGTCTCAAGAATACCCTCTCCGTCGTCGTTTGCCAGGATGTTGGGCACCTCTGGTGCGTCCTGAGTTGCTTGCTGGCCTGCACTACTCTTGTTTGCCACCCCGTTACACCGGGGACTGATCGCACCCATTGGCCGTTCTGGAAGATGACCATCCGTACTAGCATTGCGCGATAGAGATGGATCTGGAGAGGAGGGGGGTGAAGTTTCCTGTAAGGCGCCAAGCTCGAACTGGATGTGGGGGGACGACTGCAGTTTGCCTGGTTGGTGAGTCCCTGGATGTGAATCCCTGCTCGATGAGCTGCGCTCCAACGGCGTATCTTCAAGATCTGAGACCTGATCATTGCTACGACCCGAGCCCGTCCATGATGTGGGTGGCCGGATGAGTTGTGCTGAAGGCTGTCCATGGTGTCGGCGATCGGACATCCTTCCAGGAGCAGATGTGGTAGGCGTGGGGGTGCCGGCTCGGTAGGGTGCCACACGTGAAAGACCCAGAGCGTGTATATCTGCGGCGTCAAGTACGTCGGTCACTTCGGATGCGTAGACGTTGTCCTGCACGTGGCACACGCGGCAGGCGTGACCTTGTTCACGAGCTGATCCGGTGGTCAAAGTCGATGGGTAAGCTGCTCTGCGGGTAGAACCCGGGGCGCGTTCTGTGGACTCGAAGAGCATGGCGGAGCTCTGAAAACGGGGAGGTGCCCGGTGACCGCGAGCGCTCGCATGCCCATGCAGCAGGGCCCACGAGTGCAGCCACATCGTGGGATGAGGGCGATTACGTGGCCCCAGTGGAACTTGCGACCGAGTCGTGGACCGGCCTGCCAGCGCTTGTTGCAGGAGTCGTAGGCTGCTCCAAAGCGGTCGCCTGCCCATGTGACTTTGCCACCTCAGCGAATGTCGAATGGCTCATTTGTTCCACCAGATTGATGTTTCGGGCGTGATATGGTCATGCCAGCTCCACCATTTGCCAGAAGAAATATACGACTGAAGTGGATGGTTCTGTACGCAGGTGGATTTGTTAGAAGTAGTCTGAATCTGCCACCCCATCTCTTTCGATGGCGCTTCTGTCAGCAGCGTAGTTACCTTTTGGTTGTGACTCCGAGCTCCGCCACCATATCCACCACCTGACCAAGTCGGCTGCAACCGACTGGTTCAGGTCCGATCCACGGGAACATGACTCCCTCGTAGCCTCGGCACCGATTGTGATCGTCTCAAGAATAGGTATCATATCTATATTCTATACAGCCTTGCCAGTCGTGCAGCAGCCGCAAAGGAGGGTCTCGTGGAATGTTCCGACGTTACGTCTATGACAATGCCAAACGTTTGGGTCAAACACAGCTTCGGGAGACTCTATGTTGTAAAGCGCAGAAGAACCACGCCACATCATTACACGGGTCCCTTCTCCAGTCACGAGAATAGCGCCAAAGAAAGATTGATGACCCCGAAATCAGAGCCGGAGACGACTCACGTGCGGTGTAAAGATCACTATAGTGCATCGATGGTAATTCAATTTTGTGATGATGGTTGGCTATATATGAAGGATTCCTACCTTCTCTAGGCCCCCTGATAGCCCCGACAAGCGAGCGTCATCGCAAACATGCCAAATGAACCAGGGCGCTCAAGGCCGTCAAGGAGAAAGGTAGCCTTCCCAGCTACTTTGACCCGCATACATCCTTGGCATTGATGTCCAACCCGGGCACGAGCATCTCACCAGCTTCGCAGATCTCACGCTCCGCATCGAATCCCGTAATAGTGGCATCCAATCCCTCAATAGTGGCCTCGATTGATTGATCCCTCACCGCCAATATCTTCCTGAGTCTCTCCTTGAGCGCCGGCCCAACCTTCTCCATCAGTTGTTCATATTGGGCAAGCATTTCCATATCGCACGCAGCATCCTTGAGCATGGTGTCAATCATCGACAGTAGCTCTGATGGTGCTAGATGCTCGCAGTCCCAAGTCTTGGAGTACGAGGCAATACCAATGAACCGTCTCTTTCCTCGTTTCTGCCAAATATCGTCACATTGCCATACATATCTGACGTGGATCATAATATGGCTCAAGTTCACTACATGATCATCCAAGGCTTTCTGCAGCCTCCGCACGTCGGACTGGATGTGTTTATAGAAGTACGTCCAAGTCGCGGTGGCGTTGGTCACAAAGGCTTCAGCAATGTCCAGTCCACAATGCGGGCTCTCGAAGAGCGTGCTGAGGCTTGTTGAGAAACTTTGAGCCACCGTGGACTGCATTTCCTGTACGTCTTTCTGAAGCTTGAGCATTGCGTTCGCGATTTTGGCCGCCGCTAGTGTGTTCTGGTGTATGAAGTACTCTATCGACCTCTGATCGTACTGGATGTACTTCGGCTTGTTGGGTGAGGTTGCGGCTGCGTTTATGCTTTGTGCCAAGTCAGTCGAACTCGCTTGATGTTCCATCAACTCCCGGAACAGGGGCGGCATCTTGCATGACGTCTTGGAGCCATCTGGACAGTTGTACGGAACCCATTGGTTTGTGGTGTCGACCGCTCCGGTGTGCGTCGGCACCGCTTGAGACATGGCGGAAATGCCGCAACAAGTTCCAAGATAGTAGTGCGCCAGGATAGAGGCACTGAGCGCGGCGAATAGGCTGAGGATCCATTTCCGGCAGCAGACACGGAATGGTCTGAAGGACCATGCCCGGGTACGGACGTAGGGTGGTCCTGTTAGGGGTGGTTTGTGCGGCCCAGGTGTAGCAGTGGTGTCGGCGGTCTGGCACTCGAGGTCGGGAGGGCTCTGAGACGGTGTTTCAGGGATCCTGGATATGTCTGGGAGAATCTCTATCTTATCATTGGGCAATTCAGTTGTGGATGATATGGATTGAAGTTTCTCAGTCGCGGAGGTGCCATCCCGACTGGGTGGTGACATAGCTCGACGACGGACGCCAGGTGGTTGGTCGGAAGATGCCATAGCACGGATGGGCTGAAAAAGTGGCTAGGTTGGAAGTTGGTTCCAGTGCGGGTGAAGTAATAGGTGAGTGGCAAACACTTTGTTTGCGTAGGCTTCCCGTTGCCGTGTTTGTGGTTCTACAAACTCATTGGCGCTAACTCCTTTTGGATTCACCTGCAACCACTGTCCTTCCATGAGGCACGCCCCATGACGACTACACTGCTTCCACGTTGCAAACCGCAAACCGGAAACCGCCGGCTGGCTTGCTTGACTGCCCACAGCCCCAGGTTGGAACGTGATCTCCTTCCACCCTCCGCGCTCCTTACACGCTCCACTCTCCTTTCACCCTCCGCTCTCCTTGCACCCTCTGTCCACCGCATACGACGTGCATTGCTCCAATCGCAGCCAGTATCAGACACTAGTCCAAGCAAACAACTCCCCGCTTCAGCACCGCCGAATATACGACTTCACAATGGACATTTTGAACGTCATTCTCTGTGTATGCGTTCTCGCCTTCGTTGGGGGTGGTGTACACGACGTCCTACGTCCCAAACGTATCAAAGCACTCATCTCCTGCGTGGGCCTTGGGATCCTCTTGTTCAAGATCGACGGCTACCGCCTCTACGGGTTCTACCGGGCTTGGTGGCATTAGCTCGGATCGTTGCCTACGGACAGCATGCGTGGTGAACATCTCGGGAACGACTCAGGCAAGCACTTGGGGGTGCTAAAGGGAGTAGAGGATCCGACTAAGCTCCCTCGTCGACTTTGGACTACGATGCAGACTACCAAGTGGTGGAATAAGCAGTGTAAGAGCTTCGTCGAGAAGGTCTTGGGGCGGCGTGGTTGATAGCATGTATTAGTAGGCGTAGGGCTCCTTTTGGTCTCACTAAATCGACTGGAAGCTGTATTGACTTGGAAAGGCTTACGATGTGGTAGCTGGCGGTGCTTTGTACACGACAGTGTGGGAGTAGGGAAGTCCAATTCTGTATTCATATTGGGATGCAGTGTTACTAGCTTTCAGGAGATTTAGTTCCATCTCTAGGATAGTATCTAATATGCGTTTCCCGATAGTTGCACTTCAAAACGTCGAGAATATGTCAGTCGAAATTCTTGTGATGTGCAGGCGCATACCTTATAGTAAGCGCTATATACTATTTGTGTTACTTATGTATCTGAACCATTGCACCTTACTGCTTCTTCAGCTGACTTCCTATCGATACTTTGCAAGTCTCGCAGATGGCCGTATGATTTAACACGCTATGTGCTTAGACTAGGAAGCAAGTGCAACCCTGAAAAGCGGTAAGCCGGTTTTCTGGGAGGGAACTATGATATAGGTAAGTAGTAGGGAAGCGATGGATGACTTGAAGCAAGACTTGTTGTTCTGTAAAGGCAAACATGGCTTTCTCAAAACCCATTACAAGCAATTAAGATGTCAGGATCAGGTCCGTGAAAGCGCATAGCCATACCGCAATTTATTCAGTAATTACCTTAGAATCACTCTAGGCTACACCGCGCACGAGCATCATCCCTCACCTTCTCGCCCATTAGAATTCCAAATAACGCCTGGCACCTATACCGGAAACAGCCGCGCTCGAACACTGCAGAGTCAGCGTCTACGTTGATAAGCAGTCTGGGCGTCTCTGTCTTCGCGTGCGTATGGATCAAGACTCACCATGAGCAAGCTTGGCAAACGACTACGTGAGGAGGCGAGGTCGGTACCCAGTAGCTGGGGCCGAAGAAGTGCACGCTCACGTGAGCTCGCTCCGGATTGTGCCAGCAGCGTCGGCAGACGATAGTGGGAGCAAAGGACGCTAGCCGTGGCCAGGCCGTTTTCATCGCCAAGCGCGCCTACGGGTGCACAAACCTGCCTGACCCAAGCTATAGAAAGAGAGCACCATGAACGGGTTGACGGTCAGAACCACCCTACTACCAAATTCCACACCCCTGCACGAGCACCTAACGATACCAGCAACCCTTTGCACGTCAATAGACTCCGCCCACTAGGTCTAGCGGTCGAGTATATTGATGTCTTTTTCGACTCCAAACAAGGGCGGCCACAACCTGCGAGCCCGTGCGGTAGTTGACTATCGAGAATCACCACAGCGGACCCCACGCCAGCGTGCTACTCGCGCACGCACTCCTCGCGCACGCTCCACGCCCACGTCTTCATCCTCAAGCGTGGCCACCCCTGCTGCCACTGACACTTCTGACGACAGTACGTCGATTTCCCGCACAGCCGCGCCCCCAGAACTAATCACAGCAGTGTCGTTGCCTTTGCGGTCTGCGCGCACACCGACGCCTACCATGAGCACACCGCCATTGCTGGAGCCTGCCGGCCGACGCGCAGTACGCTTGCGAATCCGGGGCCCCGAGGCATCCGAGGCTCCTATCGGCGCTGTGCCCACGGCCGCGAGCAACCCAGCTTTGCCCAACTCGAGCAGTATGCCTACAAGACATATGTATTGCCGTGAGACCGACTGACGTCATACAGACCGAGTAGACGCGCACCGCGGTACTCGCCTCACGCCGGACTCGGAGCTCATCGATGTGGCCCCAAATGTAGCGCCCCAGCCCCATGCCGCCCCCACGTCTAATCCCGACTCGCCTGTCGCAGTCAAGGCTCGTCACCCTAGCCCCGGACTGGACACCGCGCCACCCGCGTGTGACTTGCATCCTGCCGCCCCAGCTGCTACCTGTCCTACCGCTCCGAACGCCTCCGATACTGCCCATCCTACCCGTCTTGCCGCCTCATCCGCCCCAGGTGCTGCCAGCGGTCGTGCCGTCTCGGCACCACCGTCCTACCCAGCGGGGGCTTGGGAACATGAACGTCGCAAGCGTCCGCGCAAACATGAACCAACGGACAGCACGCAGGCTCCTGCAAAGATGCAGAAGCTTACTCACCACGCTGAGCACGAAGAGACCTCGCATGACTCAGATATAGCCTCCCAGACTGAGCATGTAGACCAAGACTACTCTGTAAGCCTCCGCACTGCACGCATCCTTCTGAAGAAGTTAACAAAGTGCACAGGTGGGACAGCCACAGCCCGACACTCTGACCGACGAGGCTGAGGATAACATTGATGCACAGGAGCGGGACCCGGTCGTGGGGGATGCGCAGGTGGATGGTCTTGCACCGCGGCTCGATCACGGTATCAATGAAGGTCATGACCACATCCCAGTGGGTCTTCAGGAAGCACACAGCCCGCCGTCGGGTCGTACGCTATCCCGACGATTCATTTCAGCTCTGGATGAGCTCACAGATGTCCTCAATGACGCGTGCAACTCTACCTCTGATGCTATTGTCAGCGGAGTCATACGCGTCTTCAAACGCTGATTAGAACCTAGCGAATTGTGGCAGCATCTATCTCTCTTTTCAAGGGGTTCGGAAACCCAGTTTATGGCAGTGGGCTTATGGCAGAGGACTGAGGTACTCGAGATGGGAATGGCTGGATTGGCACTGTACTGAAACGAGATAGCAGCAGTAGGACGTGTCCCTTACAGGAGTGTGGCAATTCATGAGTTATAAACCTGAGGGGAACCAAAGCAAGCGCAATTCCTACACACCTATTTATTTAGGAGGGCTCCTATGAAGAAGAGCCCGTTCCATGGCCCACCGTGTAAGTCTAGCTCTACGGCAACCGCTCAGGTCTGTTTCCTTATAAAAAAAAAAACTGAACCACTGCCCCAGCACAGCATGGGAGGTGGAGATTTACTCGTAAGAGTTTAGCCTCTTAGTTAGGGAGTAACCACCTAGGGACTAGTCTCATCATCGATATGATCACGCGGAGGCGGTCTGTGCACGGTTGGTGCTATGGAGAACGAGGGAACGAAGTGGGATTCAGGCTCTCCATGCTTCTGGGCTAACACCTTTCCTTAGTAAGCAATGTTGTTTACAAATCACACGTCGTGGGACACTTCATCCACGACCTCTTTTGCAAAGTCTCGTGGATACGGGACATTTGTACGGAGTAGGGTTATTCGAGGGGACTGGTATTGTGGGAGGGACGTCTTTTCTTGGCGTAATGGATTCACGTGTGCAAGTGATCCCGGTGGGTATCTCTCCCACTGGTTGGGAGGCCGGCGAGCCTTTCTCTCCACCCGACACTTCTCCTTCTCTGCTAAGTCTTGTTCACGGAGTGCTTTTAGCCATAGGTGTCCCGGAGACGGAGTCGTCACCTCCTTTCGCGGCGGGCGTTCTGGACGCAATCTTCGCATGCGGTGCGTGCGTTCCATGGGAGGGCCGTTCCTAGTCACCCAATGTGGCGGAGGCTTTGTACCTGTGCGAGGCGCACTTGGTTTCTTCTCGCCAGATGTTCGTGGCGGCCGAGGTGGAGCTGGCGGTACTTGGGCTAGAGTTGGTCGACGACGAGGGGGACCTCACCATGGGCCTGGCACTTGAGGTGCTCCGCTACCATGTTAAATGTGTGCAACCCTCAGGGTGGGGAATGGGGTTGTGGTACGTTGTCTCAAGGGCGTGGCGTTCCCACGCGCACCGGGGATGGTTGCTAACGGGGACTTCATCAGCAGTGTCATGCATGCCTCCCGATGTGGACTTCCCTTTTGTTTTGCCAAGCGGCCGGGAAAGCTTTCTTGGGCGGGGCGGTGGTATGTCTGGGTCTTCAGCGGTGCGGTGTTCAAAGGGAAATGCCTCCTTGTCACCCTTCGGGAGCGCTGGGTGCGGAGCTGCAGAGCAAGCGGGACGATGGGGGACGAGTGCGCAAAGAGGTTGTGCACGCTGATTCATTGGCATCATCTTGGTGGGGGGAAGGGTAGCTGCGGAGCGGTTCTCCCGCGGCGCTCTCCATCCCCGTCCGCCGACTGCGCCTGTGGATGGCGGTTGGCATTCGTAGAGCTCAAGAATGCATGTTATCCTTCACCTGTTTTGCTGCAAGGTTACTTGCTGCACGTTTAATCTTTTTGCCTCGTCGGAGGATATGTGTCGTCCTGGGGCTGCTTCAACCTTGGTCTTGACGTGATGCGATGAGGAGCCTGGATGGCGTTTTCCTTGCCTCGCCCTCTTG